AGAAGTTCTCAAGTTTAAACCCTGACCTGGACAATCTGCAGAAAATAAAGTGAGTTATTGCAGGCCTATACAAACTGTGTATATTGACATTCATCCAGCTGTTACTGGGCAAGAGGCAGGGTACTCTCTTGACTGATTGCCAGTCAATCACAGGGCTTACACAGAGACAAACAAACATTCATTCTAACATTCACCTACTGGCAATTTAGAGTCACCAATTATCCTAAAAAGCATATCTTTGGACTGTGGGTGGAAGCCAAAGGAGCCAGAAGGAAGACATACACAAGGAGAACATGCACACATTCACTGTAAGACAAGGGATTTGAATCAGGAACTTTATTGCTTTGAGGCAACAGCACTAACCACTGCACCACCATGCAGCCTGTGTATTTGTGATCATATAGTTGATGTCTGGAACACTACAATTTCTATTCCAGTATGAGTGCATGAGAATTGACCCCTGAGTGTCTTTGTTGCCCCCTGCAGGGTTTTCACCATTACTGCAGTGGCTCAGCTGTGTGTGTTGGGCACCATGTGGATCTTTGGATGTTTCCAGTTTGAGGAGGGCACTATTGTAATGTCCTACCTGTTTACCATCTTTGGCAGCTTTCAGGGGGTCATGCTCTTCGTCATGCACTGTCTCTTTTCTAAACAGGTCGGTGACAATCCTCTAAATCTGAATCACAAACGGCTACTTTTTCTGAGGGCAATACTCATGTTTTATTCTGTGCTTAGGTGAGGGAGGAGTATGGAAACATCCTGTCAAAATGCTGTGCACCCAGGAAGAAGACGTACTCAGAGTTCAGCTCCTCCAACTCCAGCAAAGCTCCGGTAAATATTTATTTCTATTTGCAGTGTCTCTTTAGGTCAAACAATGTAAAATCTATTTGGCTCAATTTGTAGGCTTCACATGTTATCAATACTGATAATAAGTTACATTTTAATTAATCCTGTACCCAATAAAAGTGTTAACATAAATCAAAAAAATGTCCAAGTCACGTTCAGAAAGTAATCATCCATGCCTCATATTTAAAGGTCTGAGAGTGTCTGTCAGGACTGATCAGTCTCTGTCTCTGTCCTCAGGCATCCAAGAGCAGCCATGACACCGGAGAGTCTCACATCTGAGGTGACGACAGTCACAGGGGAGCAAGGTCCACTCATCTCCTAAAGACTGCAATCTCAGACATACAGCCAACTACTGCCCTGCAATATGTAGCCAATGCACCAGATTGCTTCATTGCAAAATGTTGTATATAGAATATTCTTTACATTTTAATGTATTACAATGGAACTGGAATGTGTATTATAATTTATTATAAATGGACGATTCTCTTAAAAATGAGAGCTAACATTGATCAGCGGGGAAAGTCATCATGGAGAATATTTTTTTAAACTGAATTATGTGATATTTAAGCAAAGCTGTATAGATTTTTCATGATTAAAGTCCATTTGCTTTCCTTGGATTCCAACACTTGGAAGTATTATCTGAATGGACATTTATGCATTTTTTTTTTTCAAAAGTCTCCACAAGTTTCACAGTTTTCACATGTAGAAAATAATGTTCAAGGGACTTGTTTATCCCACCAGCAGAGACAATCAGAAAGAAACAGACTTTCCCTACCAAGTAGAGCACTAGTAGAGAAATAGACTTTAAATGAAAGTAGGAGTATTTTTATATAGAGGGGCAATTTAGTTTATATTTCAGTTATTTACTGCATTCCTTTTCCCTGAGCATGATGTAACATATTTAATGTAGCATATCTAATTGACAAGAGTTCTTTATGTACATAGTTTAGGGAATAAATGTGTCAAAACTTGAATTTTCAGCAAAACCTTTCTTGTTATTGTAGGTTAGATTATTAGTATTGTTTTAAGCACAAGTGTAGAGTTTATACCAGAGTTATTTTATTAGATTTTGTGTCCTCATGATGTAAATTAATGTTGTTGTTGTTGTTGTGTTGTTGTTGTTGTTGTTGTTGTTGTTTACTGTTTTCATATCTTGCTTTTCCTGTAAGCTTTAAATCAAATAAATATTGGTATGTTTTTAAAAACTTGAAGTCTCTGTGTGAAGGTAGTCGCACCAATGTTCTTGGACTTATATCTTAATATAAAGAAATATAATTAATCTGATCTGAACGGCAGAGAACAAAGACATCTTCTGGAGTTACAAGTTTTATTAAAGAGACAGAATGTGTTTACAAAACCTTTGCAACAACGATGTCTTCCTTCCTGTCTAATGCTCTGAGTTACATAACTCTTTGCTCACTGCTGGAAGACTTATCTGGCTGCTTCACTTTAAAGATAAAAGCAACACATAAAGAGGAAATACAAGATCATCATGTCTTTCATCCTGTTTATGTGAAAAACCGAAGTGATCATCCCATGAAAACAACTTTGAAGACTCAAACTTGGCACATCATTTGCACAAATGTTAATGAGTAGTCTGACTTTGTGCTGATGTTTATGTCACTCTAACAGGTAATCAGTTATTGTATATATTTAATGTATATACTTTATTAATCCCTGAGGTAAATTCTGTTTTTTACACTCTGTTTTTAAGAGACATGCTTCTCACATAGGCCTGAAATCCAGAGGTGTACAAACAGGACCTGTGGACATGCATTAGTGGAGAGATCTTAGAGTGGGGCTGCACCAGAGTGGTGGGGGGTTTGGTGCCTTGCTCAAGGGCGTCTCAGCTGTACTCAGTAAGTGCCCTGGCACCTCTCCAGCTACAAGACTAACTTCCATTTTATGGTCTGCATTGGGACTTGAACCTGCGACCGTCTGGTTCCCAACCCAAGTCCGTACAGACTGACCTGCTGCCGCCCAATCATGACAGTTTCATAAAACCAAATCCCTTTTTTTATCATGGAATAAGAAATACTCTTGAAAAGTATTTGGATTAATGTTGGCAATGAAGCTGACTTTTTCGCACTGCTTAACTATTCAGCCAGCACTGGATCAATATTACAGAGTGAGAGTGATGGCTGAACTCCCCTCTGGTTTAAAGGATGAGCAGAGGAGACGAAGAGGATGAATGATACATCCAGATGGGGAGAGAGGATGGAAAGTGCAGGTCCAGCACGTACAGATAAAATAGCGGCAGAGCCTCTAGAGAGAGACAGCCGGACTTGGGAGAAAGAGATAATGTCAGAGAGGCGGCGGAAGAGCAAGGGAGGAGAACAAGAACAAGTGATTGTGAACGTTGATAACTCTATGACACTGCAGACAAGATGCACATCTGCCTTCTCTCCTTTTTCCTGAAATATTCCAAACAGTCCTGCGTTCTTCTGGAGTCAACTCGAGGTAAAGTTCATTTATAATTCATTATTATTCAATGGTGGGTTACTTCATACTGGGCATACTTTCTTTCTGGTGGCAAAACAGGGAAAGTAACGCTTGATTTAAAGAAGAAGAAAATAAAGATAAGACTGGTGCATTGGATAAGGAAAGTTCAGGCTCCTTGATGATTTCTAATATTTATTACATTTATAATCAGTAACAATCCTAAGTAGTTAAAGGGTATTTAAGATGTACTGAAGGTGATGACTCGTAATAGTATTCAATAAATGAGGAATTTAGGAAGAACTTAAGAGTAAAAGTAACAACTGATGTAATGGCAATTTTCCAATTTTTTCCTATGTGACAATTATTGCCATTAATACACAGGTAGGGGTGAATTCTTACGCAGATGCAAACAATGATTTTCCAGTCGTTATTATAGTTGAGTTGGAGGTTTATTGTAGTTAATTGATGGGGATATGAGAATAAATCTAATTATATAACATTTCCAACACAAAATGGCTCCTACAACTGATGTTTGAGAGAAGCTATTGTATTCAGTATGTGTCACATGAATAGCCTAAACTTAGTAAACAATGACATATTTGTCAAAACTTTATTTTTTAATGTAACACCTGGATTCTGATTAAGCATGCAGTTCCTAACAAGTTTCCACACACACTTCTCTGTGACCACTGGCGCAAGCCACTAATAAAGTAATATTAGGGTCATTACAAAAAAAACATTGTATCAGAAAACTACAGAAAAAAGATAAAAAATGTAAATGATGAGAACAATGCAGGTATGTTGTGATCCAAAGGTTACAGGTACAGTTACAACAAGATGTAAAATGAGCAGATTTAATTAAGGTGCCGTTCATGACTCTCACTTGTCTTCTTTCATGATTCATCATACATAGAGTGGGATTCCACAAACCTGCTGCAAATATCAAACAAAGTGCATAATGTATAAAGCTGATCATGCAAATTGGAATATCTAGATGACATGGAAGCAAAGCAAATACAAGATTGTTGGTGCCAAAATTTGCTGTTAAAAAACCCGATATTATTCTATAAGTTTTGAATCCTTTAAGGTGCATTAAAGCTTCTATAAGAAGTTCAAAAAGTAATGACTATTACATATTAAAATTTTTAACCCCACGCTCTCTGTTCCCATCACAGACACAAAACTTGAAGCATACTAATTACATTTTGACTGTTCAGCCAGAACCAGGATGGTAAAAACAAATGTTGAAAAGAGTATCTTTTTTTTATGAAAGGAGGCACTCTGGAAAGACATGTGCAGCAAAAATGTCACAAGTTTCCACATTTCCTCACCACGACGGCAGTAAAGCTCTTTAAGGCTGATGTGCAACCACAGTATTTGTTGTAAAGACAGACTAAAAAATATCCTGCATGTTCCTTAAACAAATTTGTAATTGTGATGTAGCATATTGTTATTGTTTCATTTTTATATTTTCGAAGCAAGCACCCTTTGCATGCTCTGTGCATGAAAGTTAAAGACACTGGAAAAGGCTTTGGAAGAGTGCCACCGTCTCCTCTTTGTTATTGCCCAGTCAGTAGTTACTCTTCTAAATAAGGTCTAAATTAGGTACTTGAGGCATCTTATGGACAGCAGAACAGGAAGACCTAAATATAAAAGATCATCAATGTATATGAAGTAATGAAGCATTTTAACTTGCCTGTAATTCTCTGTAGATGACGCTGAAAATGAGGACATCATCGATACTCATGACTGTATTTTCTACCTCTTCTACGCCGTCCATCTTTCACCAAAACATGAAGGTCAACATATCCACACAGTCAAGCTCCTGGCTGAACAGCAGCACTGTGCCAGCAGTCAGGTCTTCAGGTTTAGGCATGTCCTGTTTCACCATGATACTTGGAGCCATATCTAACCTCACAGCTCTGGGCATCCTTGTTAAGTCTCGGGTCCGATTCCGCCGTCAATCCAAAGCACCTTTTCTGTTGTTGACTGTGGCTTTGCTTTTGGCTGACCTGGGAGGTCATGTGATCCCAGGTGCCTTTGCTTTGTATTTGCACATGAATCAGAGGAATAAAATGCAGGCAGAGAAGCCCACCAAGGAATTCTGTCAGATCTTCGGGGCAAGTATGGTGTTTTTTGGCTTGTGCCCTTTGCTGTTGGGTTGTGCTATGGCAGTAGAGCGCTGTGTAGCCATCACCCAGCCATTTTTTCATGCTGCTATGATCAAATTGACTCACATGGTGCGAGTTGTGTTTTTTCTGTCTTCTCTTGCACTTTTTCTAGCAGTTCTGCCTTTCTTTGCTGTGGGGACTTACACCGCCCAGTACCCGGGAACATGGTGTTTTTTGCCTCTCCATGGGTCAAAGACTGCAGCCGACACCAATCTGGCCCTGATCTTCTCATGCCTCGGTCTCTCTGCTCTCACTCTTTCTCTTCTCTGCAACATACTGAGTGGCCTGGTATTGCTGAAAGCCAGAATCAAGTCCCACACAGTTAACACAAAAGCAACAGCTCAACGGACTCGCCACCCATCATCTGCATCGTCTTCCTCCATGTTTTGTTCGTTGGATCTGGAGATGATGGTGCAGCTGGCGGTGATCACTGTGGTTTCCTGTGTGTGCTGGAGCCCTTTTCTTGTGAGTACTTCTTTTTTTAGATACAGAACCGGATATTATTTGTAAGCTATAGCTATTTCTAAGAATATCTGTGATAATAAATAATAGCTACACCTAATGAGTAATTTTGTGTCTCTCATTATAGATCCACATTCTTGTAATACAGTTCAAACAAAACCCTGCAGTCTCAAGGGATGGGTTCATTCTTCTGGGCTTACGCATGGCCTCCTGGAACCAGATCTTGGACCCCTGGGTGTACATCCTTCTGCGGAGGGCAGTGCTTTTTAGAGTGTGCTGTGCTTTCTACTCCCAGAGAGCCATAGTGACAGAAAACAGCTCCTATGCAGAGACACACAGGCAGGCCTTCAGTCTGCAATGACAATATTGCTTTTGAACTTTTTTTGACTGAAATAAATTACTTGTTTTATGTATGTCATAAAAAAAAAGCGTTTCTTAACTTTGTTTTGTTACTTTCATCAGCACTTGGTAGACAATAGTTTGTAAGAAAGCAGCATGAATGTGGGATGGACAAACTTTCACTATACATTTCACGACATTTAGTTAGTAGTCAAAGCCGATGCTATTATCAATAGCAGCCACCTGCAAATCTAGTGGTTGGGAAATGTGGGAGTGGTTTGTATAAGCCAATCAGAGTCGAGAAAAGCCTGACAAGCAGCGAGTTCAACAAATAAGCGAGCTGCTGGCAGAAGCTCATACCATGGTGGGCGGTGCTTCCTCAGCAATGACTCTATTCAATATGGAGTACAGAAAATAGCCTGACCCGCTCAGCACTTCACGTTCAGATTTCGGTGTTTTATAGTGCGCATTAATGAATACGTCTTCTTAGACTATGCTGAACTGGAGGACTCGCTAACGTACGATTGACGTATTTCCCATTGTGGTTTAAATGTTGACAGTTTAGCAGCCGACTAAACAACAGTCGTGCTGACCAGCAGTTTACTGTAAAAGTGTTGTAACACCTATAAGCTAATAGTGCTCTTTTTAATAGTACTTTGTACATCTTCGTGACGCTCCCGATCACCCGGAGGGTTAGATTCAAACACTGGAGAATCTCCCTGAAAGTTACCAACAAGTTGTGCTGACCGTGGAGGTTATCGGGTGAAAGGTGACATCGCTTCAGGCTGTTGACTTAAAGGTAACTTGTTTGCTCTTAATGGATGTCGATTTGTCCGCCCATTTTGTCGATGATGCATTAATTGACACGGAGTGATCCATGTTTATTTTGGACTGCTCAAATTTGAGTTGACTTCTCTATCTTTATCCCTGCGGATAACTTTTTAAACTTATTTTATGCAGTACCATAAACGTGTTTCTGTGTGTATCAGCCTGCTGTAGTGATCCAACTCCCTTAGGGGAAAAAAAAACAACTTGAGGTCGTCAGTGATGCAAGTTTGTAACATAAAGGCCCGTCTCTCTCCATTTTCTTCATGACAAGAATGCACAATGCGGCGAGTGTCTCAGCCTCTCTGGGCTCCATGGGACTGCTGCGTCTCATCGGGGTGTCCTGGTCCTGGAGCCTGGCAGCTGGCCTTGGGGTATATCTGGGCACAAAAAGCTGGAAATACTTCTACATTGCAGCACGCACTGCCAAAAGAGACCTAAAGTAAGTTAAAAAAAGAAGTAAAAATGTAGTTCTGCTCATGCATGATGTGGGTGTGTATGTTATCTCATTGCTCCCTGTCTTCCTCTGCTGACCTTCACCAGTGGCCTGTATGTACTGTTGAGGGTGAAGATGGCTCTTTGGCGATATGTGCGCAATGGAAGTAACATTCCTTCCATATTCGCCCAGACAGTCAAACTACACCCAAATAAACCAGCACTGATCTATGAAGCCACCGGAGAGATGTGGACCTTCACCCAGCTGGACGAGCAGTCCAATGCAGTCGCCCATTGGGCAAGAAGTCAGGGATGGGTCTCTGGGGATGTGGTGGCCCTCTTCATGGAAAGCAGGCCATTACAGGTGGCGCTATGGCTTGGCTTATCAAAGGTTGGGGTGGAAGCTGCTCTCATCAACTTCAACCTCCGCCATGATTCCCTCCTGCACTGCGTCGGAGTGTCAGGGTCGAGGGCCATCGTGTTTGGAGCTGAGCTTGCTGATGGTAAGAATGTGGAAAGCAAGGTAGGAAAAGCTGATCAACAAAGACACATTTAGGATTCAATTCTGTGGTAATGAAAGGGGAATTTTTAGAGGGCAGTTATTCAGCAAACTATTAAGCAAACCATACCATTCTTATGTTTTGTGTTGTAACTTCTGTTTTGTTTCAACACCAACTGTGATAGTAAGTGTGTGTTCCAATGTGCCATGTGGTCACAATTACATTGTGATCATGTGATCACATTGACAGTAAAAGTCTCTTTAACAAGCTGTTATCGTCATCATTGATTCTGCTCTTCCTCTTTATCAGTACAATATATGTGTTGGACCTCTTTTTCTCTCTGTGTTTAGAAAGGTCTTAAGTGTGTTTGTAAACTTTGTTTACTGAAAGTTTGTATTATTTGTTCAGTATTCACATCGGCTGGAACTTTTCAATTCCCTCTGTCTTTGTGTTAATTTGCGGCGGCTGTGGCTCAGTTGGTAGAGTCGGTCGTCTCTCAACCGGCAGGTCGGGGGTTTGATCCCCAGATCCTGCAGCTACATGTCCAATGTGTCATTGGGCAAGACACTTAACCCCAAGTTGCTCCGGCTGTTTAGTCGGAAGCGTATGAATGTTTATGAATGGGATTAGTTATGATGGTCACTTTACATTTACAACCTCTATCATCAGTGTGTGAATGTGTAAGTGTGACCTGCGGTGTAAAAGCGCTTTGAGTAGACTAGAAAATCTATTAACCATTTACCGTTGCATTTCTCTCCAGAGTCTGAGAGGTTTGAAATGGTCACTTTCAAAGGCTTTATATCTTTAGCAACAAACTAGTTTGAACACCCTTTGTTACAGCATTTATTTATAGTCATAAAATTCTAAGTTATATATTTGCAGTATGTTCTTATTGTTTTATAACTTTTATACCCTCTTCCCATGTCCCTTTCCTCTCTCTTATTACATGTTAGCCATGTTGGAGGTCAGTTCGTCCTTCAGCCCGTCCATGGTACGGTTCTGTACAGGAGACCTCAGTGCCGAGCATCTGGCCCGTCTGGACGCTCGACCTCTGGATCCAGTTTTGGCCTCTTCATCCAGACATCCTCCCTCACCTTGTGTTCCCTCAAAAGGGATGAATGGTACAAAGTTTTCTGTCACTGAACCTAACTTTGATCCTATTAAAACATATAATTTGTTAATAAATGAACAATTTCCTCCTGTAAGGCTGACAACCTTTTTTTTTAAAAGTCTAATCCAAATTCCCACAGTGTGTGTGTAAAACTTTTATTTTTTCTCGGTCAGCTCTCTTGTCTGTGCAAAACTTTAAGAATAATTTATCACTTTAAAATTTGAGAAATGTAAATGTCATTTTCTCTGAACAGTTGTTTGATGTATGATCTATGATATCTTTTTTTTAAGGTGTGCAAAGTCTGATTACCAAACAATTTTATCTAAACAAATCTGTTTTAGAAAAGTTATCATTTATCTGTGACTTCAACGCTTTGAAGAAATCTGTATAGATGTCAAATGGCGAGTGTGTGATTGGAGTTCTTTATTCTCTTCTGCAGATCGTCTGTTTTATATTTACACCTCTGGCACCACAGGGCTGCCCAAGGCTGCCATTGTGGTTCACAGTCGGTAAGTTACTTACGGTTGTGGAGTTCCAGTTGCTGAACAGTTCATGGTGGATGTCTGACAATCTCTCCTGTGTTCCCACCACAGTTACTACAGAATCGCTGCTTTTGGGTTTTTTGCCTTTGGCATGCGCAAGAATGACATCATCTATGACTGTCTGCCTCTCTATCACTCAGCAGGTATGTGATCAAGCCTCCAGCTCTTGACCAATACAGTTTAAAGTTTGCATTATGTGAAGTGTAAGCTTCTCTTCTTGCCAGGTGGTATCATGGGAGTGGGTCAGTGTCTGATCCACGGCCTCACTGTAGTGGTGAAGAAGAAATTCTCTGCCAGCCGCTTCTGGGAAGATTGCATTAAGCACAATTGCACTGTAAGAGCTAATGCTTGGAAAATATTTTGAAGTGGCGTATTTTACAAAATCAATAACTATGAAAGATTCATTTTGAAAATGCACTGTTTGAAAAACAAGCCTGCTTTCCCATCATAGGTCGTTCAGTACATCGGGGAAATCTGCCGCTACCTTTTGTCTCAGCCTGTACGGCCGTCTGAAAAAGGCCACAAAGTTCGACTGGCAGTCGGAAACGGGTTGCGCCCCAGTGTGTGGGAGGCGTTCACAGAAAGATTCGGGGTGAAACAGATTGGCGAGTTCTACGGAGCAACTGAGTGCAACTGTAGCATTGCCAACATGGATGGAAAGGTTAGCAGTCACTGCCTTTCTGATGTCTTCAATCTGTAAATGCAAATTGGATCTCAGTTGAGAAAATCTGTCCTGCCAGGTGGGAGCATGTGGATTCAACAGTCGCATTCTCCCCAACGTGTACCCAATCCGTCTGGTGAGGGTGGACGAGGACAGCATGGAGCTGGTTCGCGACAGCCGGGGCCTCTGTATGCCTTGTCGCCCTGGTAACTAACACCGATGCTACAATAAGGACTTTTGCTAGATTTGAGTGAATGATTGTTTTGTTTTTCAGAAAGCACCCCTTTTGACTACCTTTTTCTTTTTTTTTTTTTTTTGCAGGGGAGCCAGGGCTTCTGGTTGGTCGTATTAACCAGGAGGACCCGTTAAGGCGTTTTGATGGCTATGCTAACCAGGATGCTACCAGGAAGAAGATCGCTAACAACGTCTTTAAGAAAAATGATTCTGCATATATATCAGGTGAGCCAAGTAACTCTTTAAAGTGTTGAAGATAAATATATTTATCACTCCCAAACTTGAAAATTGAAACCTTAAAATGTATGAAGTTATCTCTGTGCTCATTGAGAGATATGTTTGTGGTATGTGCCATACTGGCTGGATGGCATTCAGAGTTTTTTTTTTTCACACAAGCTTGTCAAGTATTTGCTTGCTATGTCTTTAACCTTAGGTGATGTGTTGGTGATGGATGACCTGGGCTACATGTACTTCCGTGACCGTGGCGGGGATACATTCCGCTGGAGAGGAGAAAATGTCTCAACCACTGAGGTAGAGGGAGTACTCAGCGGGCTCCTGGATCAGACTGATGTTGCTGTGTATGGTGTGGCCGTGCCAGGTGATTAATTGTTTTCTGATTTAAGCATCACATTTGTAGACCACACCTGTTTTGTTTTTTTTGGGGGGGGTGTATCATCACTTGACAAGCATGTATCTTCATATGTCAACTCAGGTGTGGAAGGTAAGGCAGGCATGGCTTCCATCGCAGACACCACAGGGAATTTTGACTTTGATGGTTTCCTGCAGAGTGTCCAACGAGCTCTTCCTCCCTATGCTCGCCCTGTGTTCCTGCGAATCTCGCCACATGTAGACACCACAGGTAAAATTTCATAAAATCCCCCTTTGAACTCATGAAAATGTTAACTTTCCCCCTTGATTTCATATGAATTTAATGTTCTTCCACATTCCTGTGTAGGTACATTCAAAATCCAGAAAACCAGGCTGCAGAGGGAGGGATACGACCCACGTCTCACCACGGACCAGATCTACTTTTTGAACAATCGAGCTGCTCGTTATGAGGTTGTAGATGAGGAGCTATACAGTGCTTTAGCAGAGGGGAGAATGTCTCTATGACATGGAGGCTAGCGCATTGCATTCCAGTTAAGAGAGGATAACACATGAATAAGCTGATGTTTGGATCAGTCTGTCACGGTGCACCAGCTGCCTGCTTTTGAACAGTTCAGGGACCAGGGTTGAGACGACTACTTACCTAGGCAGAGCATTGTTAAAGATGAAGTTTTAACACTGTATGAGTAACACACAGGGACGTAATGTGAAGACATTTATTCTTTGTAATAACTTCTTTTTTTAACTGATATACGAACACCTCAAAAAGCCTTTGAGCATCACCGCACATAAAGTGGGTTTCTCTCACAACCCATTTGAAACAGCAAAAATATTACAATAAGTTGGTAAGGACAGTAAAGGACAGTATCAAGTAAAACTGTTACAGGGGATAACCCATGTATGACTTATGCTGCAGGAATATCCACAAAGGTTGAAGCAATACTTTAGTGTGAAGCTATGGAGTTACTGCGTTTTTTTGGATGTGGCTAAAAGACCCAATTTGAACATGCAGTAAATGTGTCTACTAGGTCAAACACTAACCATAGAGTCTTCTTTTTATACAATTGAAAACTAATCTAACTTGTCATATCTGAGCCTCTGACTAACTGTGTCCCAGGTGTTCAGAAACATGAAAACTGTTACTGTATGTGCCTTACATAAAGCTAAAAATCTGTGTTTAATTTTAGAGAGATGCTCAAACAATTGTGGAAGTAGGGATTTTGTCTCATGCAAAGCTGAGTCACATATAGTGACTGCCATTTTCTGTAATACATTTAAATATTGTCTGAGTTGTAATATATAGATGTTAAGGAGTGTGAAGCTATTCACAATCTCTGATCCCCCAGATTAAATTTTTTGGTTGTAACTCAAATTAAATATTTTAAAACACACTGTATGTGTTTGACGTCCTTCATAGAAAAAATCCTTGGAAATGTAGTGCTGTGATTTTCCTCAGTAGTCTCTTTTAAAAAAACAAAAAACGATATAACCTTTGCAAGCATGAGCAGCCCTTCATTATCAGTGGATTCTACATTGTAGACAACATGTCTACATTCTGAATCAGTTGTCTGTTGACAAGAAGGTCCTTGTGGGGAGGATTTTCAGTGGATGCTCTTTGCAGGCAGTGCAGAAGTAAGGAAAGGCTTTGGGTGTGACGACGCCTGTGAAGGTGTAAAGAGGTTTTCGCTCATCAGGGTCATAGAAGGTCACCTTGCCTCGGTCCATGTCCAAAATTATTCTTATGACATCAGGCTTTTTAGTCATGTCCAGCGGCTCCCATGGTGCAGTGCAGGCCTTATGCTCTCCGTTGCGAAACCTTATAGACCAGAATCCCTCGGCTGGTGTCAGCACATGCTTCCCCTTCCTGTTGATGGAATCACTTGCCACTCCCACCACCCAGTAAGTGTTGTGCTTCACCTCCACATCCCAGCAGTGGCGTCCAGAAGTATATCCCTCTGCAGCCAGCAACTCGGCACTGATGTCGAAGCGCTCCGGGTTGTCCGGCAGCTTGAAAATCTGAGTGCTGTTCTGCACAACTGTGAGATCCTCTGAGATGATGAAGCAGCTAGCTGCTGTGTTTGGGTCTAGAACCACAGGATCTAAACAGAAAAACATAGAGGTTATTCATGTCTAAAGGAAAGGAGCGAATCATATACATGTGACAGGATGTTTTTTCAGGTAGGCTTACTCACTGTATTTAATAATACCCTTCATCTTCTCCCACACTTTATGTTTCAGAGAGCCCAAGTGTTTGGCCACATCAATCAGAGCATCAGAAATGGCATGTGGATCAGGGGAAGTTTGCCAGGTTCTTAAAACAGAGTTGTTAAGAGTTGTGTTTGGTTATCTTGTGTTAAAAATAAGCTTAAATGATAAGTCTAGAAATGGCCATAAAACATACCTCCTTATCGTTTCCTTGTAGTTCTGAAGAAGAAAAAAGAAGACAACAACTTTCAATGCAATGACATATAGTTAAGACTTTGCTATTGGAATTGTCTGAGGCCACAGTCTCATCTACCTTGAGAAACGGGACATCTTGAGAGTTCATCTCCTTCTCCACCAATCTGATGATGTTGGAGATAGATGTCATGTCATTGCTCATCTCCTCAATCCTCTGGTTAATCATCAGATTCTTCTGCTCCTCCTCAGCCTTTAAAACAGAAAGTCTGGCAGCCTCCTGCTCTTTCAGGAAATGGTGCAGGGCTTCAAATTCTTCTTTGATCTGTGTTTCAGTGTGCTCAGCCTGGTTCTGGAAAGACACATTATTGGTGGGTACTCAATGCTACCACACCTTGTGGTTAAAGTCACATGTGCTGATAGAACTAAGCCTACCTTGACATGTTCTGCCATTTCCTCACAGGCCATTTTCACCTTCTTGTACAGCTGCAGCTTCTCTTTAAAAGGCAGTAGCGCACTCCTCAGTTCCTCCTATAAAGTCGGTAACAGGCTATCAACACTTGAAAACAAGGTCAGTCTGGCAGGTGGCCAGGCTCTCAGCACAATGTGGGGCTTTCAGCTGCTAGCACTCATACATAGCAGTATTCCCACAGCTTCAAATTAAAGGGAAAAATCAATAGAAAGATCAAGTTCCCTGGTCATATAAACAACTTTGAATTAAGACAGAGACACAGTATGGCAACCAACAGAGTCATGTCATATTACTACTGAAGATTGAGAAAGTGGAAAGTAGAAGGATCATCACAGAAACATGGTGGGTGTCGAGTTTCATTCCTCTCGGGACCCCAATGGCAACAGCAAACCAAAAATATAAATCTATTAATAGAACGTTTATGAACTCTGCCAAACACCTTCACACATATCGTAATATCAGACTTAGAGTAGCATAAAGGTGGATGGAAGAAAAAGTGAAAACAGGTGAAAAACAAACAAAAATGCTCAAAATGTTACCAAGCTGTACATTTTTGATGAGGGACCCCTCCTTCTCTCCCTGAAATGATACAGTGTTATTTGCAAATAACCAGGCATGTGAATGATCTTGAATCACATCATGGATCTTCATTGACACTTTTTTGAAATAAGAAAGAAATGAAATAAGCTTCAAATAGTGAAAGATATTTCAACAACAATCTCTGAAAATGTGCTACCCTTCTGAATACTGCTGTGATCAAACCTGCAACTTTAACTGGCCTACCTTACAGTCTAGGGCACCTTCCCCAATGGGATAGAGCTTGTGTCCTTTGTGTGTGGCTGCTTTCCCACACACCCCACAGATTGGCTCCAAATCCTCCAAACAGAACAGAGTAAGCCTCTCTCCATGCTCCTTACAAGCCTCTGGGTCGTTCTTGCTCCTGTCCTTCTTGAAAGATTCACAGGACTTTTCCAGCACGGTGTTTACCACTATTTGATCCATGGAGGAACGGCGCCAGCACAGAGGACAGTAGTGTGAATCCCCACTGCCTTGTACTCCCCAGCTGTCATTCAGACAGGATTTACAAAATCTATGCCTGCACGTGAGCACCACAGGCTGACTAAGAATATGTCCACAAATTGGACAGGAAAGGTCATCCTCAAGATGAACACGTCTGGTGGCCATTATTCTTCACAGGGCTTTGATGACAAGGCAGGATCCTAGGCCCCTCCCATGTTTCTGGAAGGCTACCTCATCTTGACCTCAGAAATAAGTGTTAATACCTCAGCTCCCAAAGGCATATCCCGTGTAACTTTGTCTTGTGTTGAGCATGCACATCGCTGATTCTCAAATAAACACCACACCTCAGAATAAACTAAATTAATTTAGACTTAAGAGTCTGTATCTGTGCAGAGCAGAGTTAGCCTGAAGGACCCAATGGTTACTAAAAGGAGCTTTCATCATCAGTGATGATGAAATATGTTGGTCTCAAGATGGTCTTTTGATTGCATTTACACTGGGACCATACTGTGTAGACTATTCGAGTAGTCTGTTGAAACAACCTGTCACAGAGTAATGAAAGAGCTTATGGAGGAACAATGTCCAAATAAGTCACAGGGTGGAGATATTAATAGACAGGAGTAACCAGTTTAGACTGAAGTTATGTGGGAAATGAATCACCCTCTTGCTGATCACTAGCAAAAGCTTTTTTTTTAAGTCATGTTCAGTTTTAGTTTTTGGCAACAGCTTTGAATTGAATTGTATTGACAGATTGTTGTTTTAAAGTATCATAAAGCCACTTCCCCTTCTGGAGTATAACCCAAAACTGTGAATTTTCTATGGCCATTAGATGGTATTTAAAAGCAACACACACACAGATTTATGTATGTCTTTAAGGTTAACAGGTTAATTTTGAAAGTATTTCACAGCACGCTGACCTTGTTTGTACTGTAATCCAGTACTTTGTTGTCAGGGTTAGTTTTCCTGAATCAGTGCTGCACCAAAAATAGAACAAGAGTGTGAGCATAGAGACAAACATTGAATATGATCCTGCAATTAGAAACCCTAATGTAAACTAGTGCTGCTTCAACTTGTATGTATACTACATTATTTGCCCTTACATTTCATACATGCGATCTGGGTTAGCAGTAGGCTATAAACTATGCAGGCAGGCCAGTTGTCAGTGAGTGCTCTACTTGCAACACGTTATTTTAAAGCAAGCGGTCAGTTTATTAGCTACTCCGGTCTTTATACTTCATAATGACATTACCACCAGTATTATGAAGCGTAGTCTTAGAGAATCTAAAGTTGGGTAAATATGTATCCGCATGTCAACAGTCTACTTAACGCCTTATAACAGCTCAGTGTAAGTGCTAACTATGACATTGTTGCAGATGTTTGTAGTGATTGAAAGCTTACTTTCACTCTCACACTGAGAGATCCTTAACCAAATAAGTGAGGTTGTTGTTGAGATGCCAAATTGAGAATTTGATTTGTGGCTGTGCCAGTGCAGTAGTTCAAAGTCATTCAAAATAACAGTCAACACACGCTGCCACACACTAAAGCCATGCCAGATTTTAGGTGACTGCTGCATGCTGTTAGACATTAAGCAGAGATTTATTTTATGATGCATTTTGTTTTACATGTTAATATATTTGCCTGTGTTTTCTGTATTTCACAACATGTATGTTTGGAAATGTCATAAATTAAAGTTTTAAAATCAGGTTTAATTAAACCAAATGTAGCCTCTGGAATTGTTATTTCACATTGAATGTTTCAACTGTTTCAATCTTCAGATGAAGGATTTGTTGAACTGAATATTTATTAAACATAAAATACTCTCTAAATGATGAAGGTGAAGTTTACTGGGACTGGGAGAGATGGGTTGTTTGCATGCTGTGTTAACACATTTCTGTCTATGTTTGCATGCAGGAATCATCACAATGCAAACACAGAGAGCTTTACAGTCACTACAATGCAGAGACGACTGTGTCCACAAGAAGGAGCAGTGAGTTTTATTTACGCCTCAATCGGTTAGTAAAGTGTAATTATCCATTATTCCTTCATCAAAGGTTATCAAATTATCAGGGTGTAAAGTTCAATCTTCATGTTAGAGAATTTTCTTAACACTTGACTCAAAGTTACAGACATTTTTTCTGGTACTTCTGGGATTTTCCCATAGCTGTAAACATCTACACAGTATTCTAAATATATTCTCAACACCTTTAAAATAAATGATTTATCCCTACTCAGCTTACCTTATGATCCTTGAAAGCCTTCTTTAAGGGATACACTCTGTGATGGTTGTGCAGGCCTGATCCCAGGCATAAAGAACACACAGGCTCCAGATCAGTTGCACAGAGGAGAAACAATCTCTCTCCATGTGCTCCACAAAATCTTCGTGGAAGTCCAAGGTTCTCTTTAAAGCAGAGAGGACACTCTTTAGTGCCATGTTTGAACCAGAACTGCTCCAAACAATAATTACAAAAGCTTAAGTCACATGAGATGCAGCAGAGAACCACTGGAGCCAGAAAGTATTCACTACACACAGCGCAGCAGGACTCGTCCGCACCCAGACATGAGATGTCAACCTCCATCTGTGAAACTCAATGCAGCACTGATGGGTGTCTACCAGACACCAAGACATATATTACCTCAGCATGTGTGTACAGTATGTATCATGCATGAATAACTGCATGTGAATACATCATGCAGCAGTGGAGAGAGATCCAGCTCCTCCAGTTTCTCCAAAAATAAACATGCACATTAAAGGAAGTTTTTCAGTTCCAGGCTAATAAAACTGGACTCTTAAAAATGTGTTGAAATATTTTTTGGAAAGCGGCATTGGGCCTATACAATGACCTACCATGTTTTTGAGAAAAGAGCTTCATTACGGTGACCGTGTTCAATTTGTATAGCTTTTAAATGTAGTCACAAATGATTAAGATTTCTTGTCCTAGAGAGGGGGCTGTTCTCAGTTATTTCTTAGAGGGTGAAAAAGTCCTACATACATTTTGTTACTTTTCCAGTTTGACATGATTTATACTGAAGTTTTGAACTTTTTGAAAACATTTAAACTTTTATTTCATCAGTGAATAAGAAATCAAAGTCCATCCCCTAAAGAACACTTGGCTGTTATATAAATCCATCTTCACAATAGAAACCTCTATGCAAATTTAACAGAATGTATTTACATAATCTGAAAAGTTGAGTCAAGTGTTACAATGCACATTTGTAACTTGATGCATAATGAGCCTGATGACTATCATAAATCAAAAATATGGAAAAGATAGTTGTTAAAAAGCTGCAAGTTACTGGTGATGCACACAGCAAAGGAGATGTTATTTAGTTTTAGCACTAACGTGTCCGCTTCTTTCTTCTCCTCCAGGTTTTTCTTAGATTTTGTTCAGACTATGGATTATATGGAAAGAAAAAGCCTTTTTGATCACATGGTCCACTTTATTGATTTTCACACAGTAATGACAAATGTGTATATATTTTAAAAACAGAATATATGTAAGAGAAATACATATTTGTTAAAGGAATATATATATAAAAAACAAAGAAAAGGAATTTAAAGATGGAAATGTTAACGTTTAAGTTACTGATCAGCTGCACAAACAAAGACATGACAAGAGGTGGAACAATATAGGCCTACCAAGAATGTATGCCAGAGTTCAGTCAACCAATGTTTCAAATCTCTGCTGACCTGGGTCAATGCTCTACACGTGAAATGTCTTTTCTGGCTGACAAGAGATTAAGGCAATCCAGAACGCATGCTCTTCTCATATTACTCATCAGGATACGACGTGAAAATACAGTGGTTCACATGGACATGAAGTGACAGAAGTGTGTTATTAACAGTGACATGCTTGTTAGATTCACTTCAAACACCGTGAACATTTCATTTAGCTGGAAATAATCTGAGCCACTGACAGGGCATGATGGAAACTGAGGATATGGACATATTATCACAATTTATGATGTATGAGATTTTAAATACATTCTTGACTGAAATATTCACAGTAACCAGTATATAAAGCCATTCTGTATATAGTCTGGATTGAATTAAATACATTTTCTGTTTGAAATGAAAGCTGAGAAATAAACAAAGATATGCTTTTTAGACAATGACTACCCAGTGCTTTTCTAAGAGGTTTGAATCATACTTGATTAATACTTTTTGGCATCGTCATAATCCTTCCACTACTACTTCTTAATTGTTCAATTTAATTATTTTTTTTAGCATTTTTCCTTTACCCTCACTCCATGCAAAATGCCCTCACATCAGCTTCCTGTCTGGGTGATCAGAGGCACGTCCAGAGCGTTGGTGTCTCACCTCTAGGTGTTTGCTCTGAACGAGGTCAAAATGCTGGAGCAGCTCACTGTAATCTATCTGAATGTGTGAGGCGCGCTTGGAGACCACTTCATGTTTAGAGTCCATGTACTTGGACTCATCCACAGTCCTCATGAGCTCTGGGTTTGGGACACACCGCAAGCGATGGGAAAGCAGTTGGAAGGCCTGGCTCTGCGGCAGCAGCATTAGCAGGCCATACAGAGCTTTTATCAGGTATGGGTTGTTCTCCACATCTAGGAGCTGCAGGCGCAGATAGGTGAAAATGGGGCTTTCAATGAGCTGTACCAGCTTGTCAACCTCCATCAGGAAATCCACGGTCACCTCAAGATCTCCAAACTTCTGAATGAGATCATAGGCATGTTTGTACTTCTGGGTGAGGAAACAAAGCGACACAGTGGCCACGGGGTTGTGACACCAAGAACGATACAGGCAGCAAAACAAAACACAGCTCTCCTGAGTGTGCAGATCTTTCAGCTGGTTGCGTAGCTGGAAAAGCTCAGCAGAGGTGAGCAGGATGGTGTTGAGCGTCTGAACCATTGTTGAAGCAAATTTGAGGTCCTCCTCCTTCAGCAAGATGTCGGCCATGGAGTGGAAGATGTTCTCTGCATGAAGCAACAGGCAGAGCTGCCTTATGATGAACGCTCCTCTGTTCTCCAGGAGCTTCCTCTCCAGACTGAAACGTTTCAGCAGGTTGATCATGAACTTGTAAAAATAGGAGTTCATACTTGGAGTGGAGGGGGATGAGTCGGCTGGTTTGGAGCCTGTGCTTGGCTGCTGACCTGGCTTCACACTCTCTGGGACCTTGAGCTCCAGTTTGTTGTCAGTGCTGTCACAGGAGCCGACTTGGTCAGTTTGTCCGGCAGGGGATGATGCTATCTCAGCTAACACCTCCAGGTCTTTAAGAATCACTTCATCAGACTCATCAGACAGCGTTTTCAGCAGCATAGGAAACAGGCTGTCTGTGTGGCGGAACATTTTGCGAGGTGTCTTGATGTAGAGGTGGTAGAGCCATTTCAGAACAGCTATACGGGTCATCATGCCAGTGGAGGAGTCATGCAGGTGCCGGTCCAGCACCTGAACAATACCATCCAGGTCCAGAGTCACCTGAGGCCTGTCAGCGCTGGCTGGAGTGAAGAAGCTGATATTACTAAAACCAACAGATTCTTGTGATGCATTCAGCATATCATTACTGTCCGACTCCATCTTAGGCTGACCATCTTCCTTAGACGGGGACCCGGCACCACCACTCTTCTCCTCATCCTCCTCCTCATCATCCTCAGAGGTCACCAGCTTCATAAGACTGTGATTACAGGCACTGGCTGCCTCTTTAGTATTCTTCTTTCTGTCATCGTAGGAAAGGCAAGGCAGCACAGCAGTGAGGATTCCAGAGGAGTAGGGGAGCACTGCTCTACCTGCAAGCTGGATAAACTCTCTCATCCAGGTCATAGCTGTTAACTGGATCAGGTCGTTTGTTAGTTTGGTTTCATCTGCAACTTGGCAGTGAATGACAAGGATGTTGGCCATCTCAGCAAATTTCACACTGGAGGGTGTCTTCTTAATCTCTTTCAAAAACTCTCCCAGCACCACCTCACACATCTTACGGATCTCCTTGCTGTTGTCTCCCAGGATCTGAAAGAGCCCATCCAGGATCTCGGGGAGGTAATCCAGCAAGTTGATGTCTGGCACAGACTCCAGAACATGGATCCAAGAAATGATGAACTGGCGAGCATATTGATTATTTGAGTAGATTCTCTCCCTGAGCAGAGGGACAAATGCCACTAAGTCAAACTTGTTACTTTCAGTCACAATGTCTTTCAGCAGTCTGTCCAAAAGTTCAGATCCGCTCTTCACATTGGGGTCTGGGTCTGCTGCAAGCTTGCTGAGACCGTCAAAAAGCAAGTTGAAGTGGGGAAGCACTGCTCCCCTGGCCACCTTAACTATGTTATAGAGGGCCTCACAGGCATAGTATCGCAAACGGCTGTCTGAATCATTAAAACATGTGAGTACGGGCTCAATAAGCTCCTTCAGATACAGACCGGAGTCTTTACCCAGGGCAATGGAGCAGGCTGCCAGTCCAATGAGGCCCCCTTTCCGACTGTGGGGATGCTGAGAAAGCGCAAACTCCGAGGCAAGGATCTGGATAACATGTCTGATCTGAGTGGAGTTGTTCTGAGCCACAAACTCCCGCACCAGCTTCTCAATTTCGAGAGCCGCGACTTTCCTCTTCTCGTACAGTTTGTCATTCAGAGCCCGGACAATGTTGGGCGTCAGCGGGGAAAAGTCCTTCTCCGTATTCATGTTCGTGCCTGTGGTTGTAGCGTGTCCTCTTTGCTATGTTTTTTTTAGTTTGAATAGCGGAAAAAAAAAACAGTCTGCATGAATGACCATTTATTCGTGAAAACACAAACCAGGAAGTCTCTTAATACATAGCAGCTGACCGGTTACATCCGCCGGAAACACCTCATGGTTGCTACAGTTATTTGTGTCCCACTTTTCGGATACAATGTAGCTTCATTAGCTTTGTACATAGCGAATGTCTGTTTTCATTGTTTCACTTTATTGTCGCGTCGCTTCTTAAATTAAAGTCGTATATTTTCTTCAGCTGGTGAAAGAATTGTTAGCGATGTCCAGCCGTCTTTCTTTGAACTCACAGCTCTCCTCCATCATGGAGACAATGGCAAGGTCTGCCCTGAGTCAGGTCTGCAAACTTGTGGATGAAGATTCTTGTGAGCTGCGGTCACAGTTGACTCGTCTTCTAGCTGCTAATTCAGCCCTGGAAGGGAAAGTGAGCAGTCTCCAGTGTGAGCTTACAGTTGTGAGAAGTGATGGCCACAAAGTGTGTAATTTAAGTTCTCGCAGTGTAGGTGTGCAAACTGTCAGCGACACAGACGGCGAGACAAACGGTGCGAAAGTTTTACAGTAACAATAATTCAGATATTTGATCAAAATCATGAACGCTGATTGTGTCTGAACTGATGTTTTCACTGCCCTCCAGTGTCGGAATCTCCTGCTATAGCGGCAGTCTTTGGAAAAGATTGGTGTATGAATCTGTGGAAAGACAGAGACCCATCCAGAGACCCATCCAGGTCTGAAAGAGTCATGAATGACCCACCAAAGCTCTTTGATAAGGTCAGAATGTTTTTTTTACCCTTCATGATGATTAACAGCTTTGTTTGTGTCGATGGAGAGTCGGTTATGTGCAAATTAACAACAACCATAAAATACAACAAGATGTTACGTAATCCACAATAATGAATCTTAATCATTTGCGCATGCGCATTGACAAGTAATGTACTGAAGCTCTATCCATGTAGTGAAGCTCTGTTCATGTTGCTGCCAACTTTTAAACAGTATGCTACATGCATTAATATGATTGGAATATGTGTTAACACAAACATGGCTTGCATATAACCCTTCTACTCATTATGAGTTTTTGAACTTGTGAATAAATCATTGAAGTAATCCAAAAAGTCAGTAGTCATGAAAGATCTCATTCCTCACAGCTCAACAGTACATTTTTTAAAAAAAGCATCTCAAACAGAAACAAAAGTTATAAATAACCATTTGCTTTTTTAAAGAATCAAATAAAGGCCAATACATTGTTTTCTAAAGATTGAGACACTTCATCATTTCTGCTCCAGCACTGCTAAGTATTCATTTGATTTGATTATATTTCTGATTTGAACTACACATAAACATCTGGACTTGTCCCACTTTTCAGTCCATGGAAGCACAATCCGAACAAATTACTGTGACTGCCCTCAAAGAGGAGGATTGTGTGGAGGATGCTTTGAGCAGTTGCCAGCAGGAAACACTTAGTACAGAAGGTAAGAGAGTGAATGGGCAATGTCTGGCACAATGCAGGAATATATACAGCAGAATAATGCCCTTTAAATACCTTTTTTAAGTGTTTGACTTTGTATAATGATGCTGATTACAACAGACCACAGAGAGGGCATGGCTGAGGAACCAGAGCAACTGTCGGGAGGAAGCAGCTCTTTCAACCTGCCATTAGATCAAGATGGAGAGAAGGTTGTGTCTTCAGGTGGTATTGGAGAACCGGCTATGAAGCTGATATCTATTGATGACACAGGGGAGGCCCTCAGCACCACTATCATTCCAATTGATGACAAAAATGATGATGATGATGATGAAGATGTGCAATTCATTGATGACAGTCAGCAGGAGCTAATGATGAATTCTGCAGATGGGCTCATCTACAACAGGCAGCAAAACTTTAAAAACGGCATGGCTCTTGATACAGACCTAAATGTAGACTTAAATATGGTTGACTTTGAAAAAAACACTTGTACATACAGGGACATATACACATGTGATATATGTAACCTGAACTTCATCCATAGTTCCACTTTCACATTTCACATGAAGACACACAAGGAGAACTACTGCAGCATTTGTGGGCAGTTTTTCATTTACAGGCACAAGTTAATTACGCACACCTGTGTGCATCCATATCCTTCTAAGAACTCGTCGTGCGAGCTGTGCGGAAAGGTTTTTGCAAACCCATCATCTCTACGGCTTCATTATTTGGTCCACACAGGAGAGAAACCCTACACATGCAGATACTGTGGGAAAGGGTTCAGCCAGAAAGGCAATCTGAACTGTCACCTACGGATCCATACTGGAGAGAGACCTTTCTGGTGTGTGAAATGTGGAAAGGCCTTCACGCAAAAGGTCAACCTCAAATATCACATGAATTCACACAGATAATGAATGAATCACTGGAGCCTCATAGCGGTTGACTCTGATGGATGAGCAGTTGCAATGTTTCCTGTATCCTTGTCCTCGCATTGATGTTAAGACAGTTATGTTTGCGTATTTGTAGTCTGTTGTGTTTTAGGAAAATGAGTAGTGTTGCCTATATGTATGTGTCCTTTTGTCAGTGTTTATTTATGAAAAAAATGACTTCGCAGTAGTTTTTTTTCAGTTTTTACAATAAAACATTAAAAATGTTCATGTTGGGTTGTAAAACTTTATTCAATAGGACATATTATATATGCAGTACTTTTCACTATAAACTCAAATTGCCCTGAATTTAATTATCATACTCAGTTGACTGTTAATGAATTAAACGTTGACTCTGTGAAATATCTAATGTTGCTTTGCAAGGAACATGCATGTGTTATTAAAAAAGGGGGAAAATATCCACAGCACCAGATTTCTTTCTCAACCAGGCATAATTTACTTAATCGGGATGGTTGATTCAGGAAAATATATTTACAGGTCAGAAGATGTTCTTTGTACAGGTGATTGCTCTTTTTAGTTGGCAGAACAGTTCAGTACATAATAAAAAAGGGTGAAAGCTTAAAGGGAAATGGTTAACATTTAAATGATGCAAGAGTTTGCTCTGGCTGCACGCCAACAACACAATGTGTCCAACAACAATACATATAAGAACTTAATTTAAACCTGAACCATATCTGACACTCACTTGACTTACATGTGAACACCACAGATCACAATCCGTCTACATCCATCCTCCACAGTTTATTGAAGAGAGGCCTTCTTACTTTCTGTACTGAGGTATTACATGAGATATATAGAGCAGCAAGAGAAACATTTTAGAAATGAAGAAAACAGTGATTTGTTTTACTTCCATACTGTTGTGAAGAGGTAGTTTCAAAGGTTTATGCTACTTGTGTGCAATCAAAAGAGCGCTTTGTCAAAGTAATCCTTTTACCATTATTTGACAGAAGACGTGTGGTCTAAAATATGACACTGAGGTATGTAGATGTTAAACCAACCATATGAAAAACATGCTATAAATGAAAGTAAGTTTAAAAAATGCTTACTGCATATGTCATCAAACATCACAAATATTTTTCACATGGTAGAAATAACTTAAAGGCTTGGTGAGGTCATCAAAAGTTTGGTAATGAACTGTCTAACCAATGTGATAACTCATCCTATGCATTGGAGTGGTACACTAGAAGGAAAATATACTTCCTTTGGCATTGTTTGGCTGCTTTACGAAGCGTTACAGCTTGAAGCACACCAAACTCTATCAGATTATTGGCTTGTAACATTAGCTTTCTTTGAGATTAGAGTATCTTCATTCTAACCTTTTCATCATCATTTGATTTTCATATTAGCATTTTGGCACGTGTTGAGCCACTCTGAGAAATACTTTAGAACTAGGGGCATTCAGATTTAAAAAAAAAAAAAACCTTTGGCTTCATGATTTAATTGAAACACTGATGATGATTTAAGCCATACTTGTATGCATAACATTTTCCACAATCCACACAGCTATAAGGCTTTTCACCGGTGTGTGTTCGGAGATGTATGTTCAAAGAGCTTTTCTGGGAGAAACTTTTGCCACAGTCCGGACAGCTGTAAGGCTTCTCCCCAGAGTGGACGCGTTGGTGAAGTTTCAGGTATGTTTTCTGTGCAAAGCGCCTCCCACAAACTGAGCAGCTGAACGGCTTCTCACCAGAGTGTCGTCTGATGTGGACTTTTAAACTGCTCAAATAGTTGAATATTTTCCCACAGAATAAGCACTCAAACCGTTTGGTTGGCTTCATAGGTTTTGGTTGAATGATGAGTTCTTTGGTTGCATTGAAGTGGATATTGTTTGCATAGTCGGAGTATTCGCCCGTAGATGCAGGAAGATTTGGGTTGTCCACCAGGCTGTTCATCGTGGCATCATCTATTAACTTGTCCATAATTGTTGGCTGCATGCGATGTGTTTGACTGTCCACTGTAACAGGGAAGTTATTTAATTCTACTGAGTGAAGCTGCAGCTCGTCAACAGCTCTATGAATCATGCTGTCCTCCTCAAAAAGTCCAACAACTGTAAAATGAGAGGGGGAAATGCAGTTAAATCACAGAAACAGTCAGGTTTATGATTTACTTTTCTTCTTTTTAGTCTATACTTACCTTTTCTATTATCTGTGAGCATCATCTGCTGACCAATGGGGTGATCATCATACAATTCCTCCTTGACAAAGATGAGATCAGGATCTCTCTCCATTAAGTCTAAGGCCTGCCAATAGAGAAATATGCAAAGCAACTTTGAACTACTGATAATTAATCCTCAGAACTTTTCTACTTTAGATTTTTTTTTAGACACATCGTTAGAGTTTCAGGCAAGACATTTCTGAATTGTATTGTCAGTGACTGTCTCTGATTGCCTTCCTCATTGTTGTGCACCTGACAATTAACAATTAGAACGTATTCAACCAATAGGTAATTGATTTACAGACCTGTGGTCCTATACTAGTCATAGCAGCGGGCACCACTGTCTCTTTCCTTTGAGAGGGCAGTTTTGGTTCTTCTCTCCACAGATCCATGCACCAATCCTTACCGAACACTCCATCAATAGCTGGAGCATGCTGCTGCTGTCCTGGAAGATCAAGTTTGAAATTGTGACCCTCTATATAGATAGTTAAAATGGACATATGAAGAGATACGAGCACTACACGCAAATTGATACTGACAGACGTCGCCAGCTCACGGTTGAAAATCATAAAAATGACCGTATGTTAGTATTTCTGAGCAGACTGTATGATCCTGACCTGTGGGGTGTCGGCGGCTGACATTGTTGGCATGAACAGGATAGGTCTGTGCCTCCCTCGCGGCTCTCAGCTGGACCTCCAGAGAATAACACCTCTTTTTTAACGCCTCATTTTCCGTCTTATGCAGAGATATCTCGGTGTGAAGGACGGAGGAGCATTCATCTGCAAGGTTGCCTATTTCAACCAAAGCTGCTTTCGTTAGCTTATCCAGAATAGCAGCTAAGTGCGTCTGAAAATTTCGGCTAGTAACGTCGCACATCTTTTCGATAAGGAGGTTAGTTTAACGAATATTTGGCAAGAATCACGGCGTAGCGACGCTACTCTTTCTTCCTATAGCCTACTGTATGGTAAAGAGCTGTGCCGCAAGGGATTGTGGGAAAATGGTGTGCTTGCCTACGGAAAGCTAAGAGCAATATTACGACCTATAGATATACATATAGGCCTCTATATTCTATACATTTACATATATATATATATATATACATATAGGCCTCTATATTCTATACATTTACATATATATACATACAGGCCTCTATATTCTATACATTTACATATATTATATATATATATATATATATATATATATATAGGCCTACTTGTGTTTACAATAATTACATATTTATTTGCAATTCCAGTTTCGCATTCAAAATAAAAATTGTTAGGCTTTTGTTTTGAATTTTGTAGCCTGTCTTAAGATCAAATACTGTAGTTGCCGTTTGAATTATAACAAATTAATAAAATAATGAACTAAGGACTTTCTGGTACACCGAAGGATAAACTAAATGAAAACAGCTAAAAGAAACAGTAAAAAAAAGTGAGAAGGTTTATGTCATAAGGTGGACTTTACTTCGACTTGTCAGCTGAGCTGTCCAGGAGGTTGTTAAAGTGAAATGAGACATTCAAAGATGCAGCAGTGTCGTTCTTTTCCATCACTGTGACTACAGGGAGACACTGCAGAGGCTTTCAAAAGAAATGCTTTCATTTCAAACATGTATATTTTCCCATTATAACTGATGAAGATGATGCACACACATCTATTGAAAATAACTTTATTGTTGACAAATATTTTAACCACACTGGAGAAAAGACATGTGTAGAGTTTTAAGTCGGTCCACTTATGAATGTGGCACTAAATGAAGGTACAGATTCATTACCAAACATGTTCAAACTAGGATCCAGATGTACAGCAAAGTGTTTTTTCAGATTACAGTTTTTTGTAAACCCCTTACCACATTTGATACAAACAAAAGGTTTTTCTCCGGTGTGTGTGCGCTGATGCATATCCAGAGTGCATTTCTGAATAAAGCCTTTTCCACAAATAGGACAGCGATATGGCTTCTCTCCAGTGTGTGTGCGCTGGTGTGTGTACAGATGCCCTTTTTGTGCATATCTCTTTCCGCACAGGGTGCACCTAAACGGTTTCTCTCCAGTGTGACTTCTCTGATGTATTTCAAGCTGGCTAAAGCATCTGAAACCTTTGCCACAATGCAAACAGCCAAACCTCTTAGCAGCTGAGTTCCTCAGGTTGTGAAGCTTCATATTCCTGAGCATGTTTGAGCTTTGGGAGGCAACATTTTGAACAGTGTATTTTCCAGCCTCATTGTTTGTGGTTGCAGATCTAAGCTGTTGATTCCACTGTGTCTCTCTTCTTCCTTGTCCAGTGGGAGGTGATTGGGTACCCAGGTTCACAGAGCAAGAAAACAAAGGCTGTTGATTTTCTGCAACAGCTTTTGGATGATACATCTCCTCTGGACTCTTCTGGGTGTCTGTGAGCAAATCCTGTCCTATTGGCAGCATATGAGAGTTAAAATTGTAAAAATTATTGAGCTTGATTACATGTTGGCTACAAACCAAAACATACACAATAAGCTTCATACTACACACGTTTCATGAGTTTGAACCCAATACTATTTCAAAACCACATAGTGTTATGTTTATAACAGTACCTCAAAGTCAATGTAAGGTTTTATAGAATCCAATTTTACATTACAAAGATTTGTACATACATGTTTGATATTAACCTTAATTTTATACTCACTGTTTTCACCTGTTCTTTCTTGTTCTGTGTCTCCTTTGTCCAACTCTGGTGGCTCTTGCTTAACCATTATCAAATCAGGATGTTGATTGGGTGGACTTGGGGGCTAATAAGAAAACAATGGGAACTGAACTTGTTAAAAAGTTAACACACTACCTTAAAGTCGTGTGATCTATGCTGGACTTACTTCAGCTGCAGCAGGCTCTTCATCTTGATGTAAAGTGCTCATTTCGTTGGAGGAAGTTATGTTTAACCATCTGCTCTCACTAGGATGCCACACAAAAAAAATGAACACCCCTGGCAGGGTTTAGTTTACAGCAAAGGTCATGATGGATTTGAAGTTATAGTGCAACTCAGACACAGTAGTCTACGGGACTAAACTGGCCTACCTTTTCATTGCAGGTCCTGTCCTGTCAGGCTCAAACATCCCGTCCCTCACCATGCATGCTGAGCTGGCTGCGTCCTGTCTGCCCCCCTGTGCCATGTACAGCAATTTCTCCACCAGCTGTAGTTTCTCAGTGAGCGACGCTATTTCATTCCGCCCTCGGGTTATCTCTATTTTCAGCATCTTAGACTCAATCTCGACCAGTTTGCTTATTTCAATTACAGCTGTTTTGGATAAAGCATCCATGATGGAGACGAGCTGTGTCTGGAAAGAGAAGACCGTCGACATGGTTCTGAGGTTTCTGTCAGAGTCTAAATTTATGCGGACGACTTGTTGCAGTCGAATTAATTGAATGTAATCTTAGCCTAAATTAAGTTACAGCATATAATGCGACAAAAGCGCACTGTGCATGTTCACAAGATACGCGTGAGTCTCTGCAAAACTCAAGTGGGGGAAAAGGAAAGGGTGTCACCACATACCGGCTAGGAGGAAGTATCGCCACATCTTAAAAAACTACAAAATTCATAATAACACGGCTCAAACGTAATCCTTTGTCGTCTGAAATATATGCACTTTAACTGAGGTGTATTGTTAATGCTTGTTTCTAATCTGTTTCTTCATCTGTTGACTTTTTTTGTTTTTGTCAGTTTAACTACTTCGTCAATGACTGCATTGGCCAGCATGCAATGCGGTCCAAAGGAAGACAATCATTGGCCGGTGAAAACGCGTTTCAGGAAGTATTGAGAAAAATTACTTTGCCGACTGAAAATCCTCCTCATGATACTGTACTCTTGAGATTAGCAGGTAAAGTATGATTTTTAATCCACGGTGTTCTAGCTCCTCGGAAGTTGTCAAGAAAAGCACATCGATAGGCGACAGGCTGCTTACAATGCAATCAAGAAAGAGCTGGGATTTGTAGCTTTTGCATTAAATCCTCTATTTGTTATCAGTTTTGCATAGCCAACAACTGATAACACTGCAGTACTAAAGTTGCTAGTGCTAAGGTAAAACAAAATATTAATAGAAAAACAATAGCTCTACCACTATGAACTATGTGGGTTAGACTAAAACGGGCAAATCATGATGACTTGCAAACTGTAGTCTTTTTTTTTAACTTCCTTATACATTTCTCAAACCCAGCCTTTCCTGTTTTCTTTTCTTCTACCCAGTTACCTCCTTCATTCAAACGACTGTCTCATGGCTGCTAGAAGAATCTTGGTCTTCCCCTCCTCAGCGGAGCTTGGTCCAGTGCTGGTCAGTCTGGTGACATCCCGGGCTGAGAAGGCAATCACCTCCCGTGGCAGGTTCACCCTGGGGCTTTCTGGAGGAAGCCTGGTGTCCATGCTTGGCAAAGAGCTGCTCGCCCTGCCAGATTTGGACTGCAGCAAGTGGTTGGTTGGTTTCTGTGATGAGCGACTGGTTCCATTTGATGATCCAGAGAGCACCTATGGGCTGTACGAGGTATTTTGTCAGGAGTGTGCATGTGTTGTGGATTCATTAGGACATGCAGTCAAATATAACCTCTGTTTCTGTCTCAGGGCGAGTTATTTTCCAAGATCAACATCCCTGAAAGTGGGATCTTAACCATAGACCCCTCTCTGCCCGTGGACCAGTGTGCTGAGGACTATACCCGGAAATTAAAGGAGGTGCAATATCTGTGACCGCTCACTTTTCTTTTCTATGTTAATGTTGGGCTGAATATTTATAGGATTGTTTTTTCTTATTTCAAACCCTCAGGCCTTCCCAGGTGAGAAGCTCCCAGTATTTGATCTGTTACTGCTGGGTATGGGCCCTGATGGACACACCTGTTCCCTCTTCCCAGACCACCCTCTACTGGAGGTTAGGGTTGTGCTTTAGTGAACTGGACAATATAGACATCATGTTAACCTATATATGTTACACAATCATGATGATGATTAATTACAGATGTGTTCCTGATGCAGTTTCCTCCAAACACATCTCAGACTTTAGAAATTGATCAGTTGATTAACCTGCTAAGGGATTTGTTTAAACTAGGTTCCTATATAATAAATACACATTGTTATAATAGTAAAACACCACTGCAAACTATTATTTAGAAAAATCTTTGACTATTGTACTTTATTTCATTTTTTTTTTTTTTAAGTCACATTACTGTACCCCTTTTTTGCTAACCCTTTATTTAAACAAATTCCACCTGGCCTACTAATTAAGGTCACGAGGCATGTCAGTATTTACTCTTTGATGGGATTCCTGATTTACAACTCTAAAAGAGCAATATGTGTTTTACATGTCAGGACACACCCTTAGCTGTATGTATGGCTCAATGACAAGTTTTGATTTAAGTGCTACTAAGATTTTGTGGTCTTGACTCTTAGTCCTTGCTACCTTGAAGCAATCTGGCTCATGTTACATCATATGTTTTGACAGTTACTATACTCTATAGTAACTGGGCGGCTGTGGCTCAGTTGTTAGAGTCGCCGCCCTCAACCGGAAGGTCAAGGGTTTGATCCCCAGCTGGGCAACATGTCCGATGTGTCCTTGGGTAAGACACTTAACCCTGAATTGCTCCCGCTGCTTCGTGGCGGTGTATGAATGACATTATTTACTTCTGATGGATGATACTACATAGTGATCACTACCATCAGTGTGTGAAAGGGTGTGAATGTGTAGGTGTGACAGGCAGTGTAAAAGCACTTTGAGTAGCCGGAAGACTAGAAAAGCGTTATATAAGCTCAAGTCCATTTATCCATTTATAGGGTTGTGGCTCTCACATTGCCACACTTTTGGTGACTTTTTTCACAACATAGAAAAGATGACTTTTGGTTTACCCCACACTCAGGAAACAGAGAAGATTGTGGCCCCCATCAGTGACTCTCCCAAACCGCCGCCACAGCGCGTTACTATGACCTTCCCAATGGTGAACTCTGCACGCTGTGTGGCTTTTGTATCAACAGGAGGAAGCAAAGCACCAGTTTTGAAGGTAACATTTGAATTCGTTTTTGTGTCTTGACATGCTAAATCAACTTTTACTTAGGGCAGACACAAACCCAGACAGTTGAAGGACACAAATCAGAACAATGCAAAAGATGATTGAAGTAGGTTAAATTGGAGAATTCAGTAGTCAAACTTGACGGATTGAACAGTTGAAACTGTGCTGGGACTAAAACTAACATGAATAAAATGAGGACAAATATCTTACCTGAAAATGTCTAGATCAGCCCTTTAAAGGCCCACAGGCCCAGCTGAACTGAGTTTCATGGAGCATTGCTGTCATATTCTAACAAATTACATTTTCATGCAGGAAGTCCTGGAGGGTAGAGAAGGACCAGCTTTCCCTGCAGCCCGTGTTGTGCCGACCAACGGCGAGCTGTTCTGGCTTGTTGATGACCCTGCAGCTGCCTCCTGACTATACAGTTAGAGAGGCCGGGCTCAGGAGCCAAACTGTAGGCCTCTCTATCTGTTGAATAAAGACAGAGAGTCTACAAACTTAAATAAGGGGACTGGAAATAGTAGACTGCATTCCTACTTTCACTTGAAAGTGCTGTTGTTGTTTTTTTTAGGTGAGATAAATAGATAGGTTCCATGACAAACAAAAATCACAAGGGACATCTGTGTAATTTCCAGCATTACATTTAGCACTTATTTTATTAAGTTTGTGAGTATGTCAGAGGTCTGCCTTCATACAAGAGCAAGTTGAAGAAAATGCTTTCAAATATTTTTAGCAAAATTGAGAAAATCAGACAGATAAAATGTAAAAAAAAAAAAACATATTTTTAAGCATTCTTACCCTTAACAAGACCAAAGTTACATTAATAGACTGTAAATGTGTTGTTTTTGCTCCTCACCTCTGAAAATCATGTTTCTTTGGTAATTTCTCATGTTTTCAATAGAAATAAAAAAAAAAAAATGTTGATAACATCTACTTCTCTGTCGCCTGTCCATTAATGGTAAGTGGTCCATCCCCTTTAAGATCCATGACACACATCCCACCCCTTTAAAGCTGTACTTCGCAGTGTTGTCACATCAGGAGCTGCTTCTGCTGCTGCACAGATTTTCTTTTCTGTGATGCACAGAAAGTGAAGATTCAACTCTAACATAGCAGTGTCTCTTCGTGAGCCACTACCTCGGAACTTCTTCCGTTAGTTGTTTCCTAATTGATAGTCGCAATGCTCGGGCTTGCGTGCCTCCCCGCCACCCTGCTCATCTGGCTCCTGTCCTGCTGCGGTGCTGTCCGGGGATATTTTGCGGAGGAGCGCTGGAGCCCCGAGTCTCCGCTGCTCGCTCCCCGGCTGCTACTCGCTCTCATCTGCAGAAACTCCGAACACTCGCTGCCCTATTTCCTCGGAACTATTGAGCGTCTCAACTATCCCAAGGAACGAATGGCTCTGTGGTGAGTTATTCTCTGAATAGCCTACGTTTTAGGTCTTACTAAGAAATGGAGTTAACCTCTCCGTTGCTTGTCGGGGGTCAAAAGTTGTTGTTGGTTTTTTTTGTTGTTTTTTGCTACAGTGTCTTCATTTTTAATTCCATACAGACGGTGCATGCTTTACTGTCGGCTGAGGTTTGAGAAAAGTAAAAATGGGGCGGACCCGCAAAGGATGACGGGCTAATACTCGAATAGTCGAACATTGAAGCCATAGTTGAGGCGAGGGTTGAAAATGTCTTTTAAATACAAGCATCTCCAACTTACTCCGAATTGAGAGCGCTAATCGAGTGACAACTTAACGTGACTTTCGGCGTTGATTTTAAGTGTGACCAGAGGTTTGCACATCTGGTCACTGTGCTCATCATGCATTGATCTGTATACGTGGAGGAGAGGGGAGGGGACACGACTCAAGTGTCCACGAGGGGAGCTGTATGAATTAGCTGTAACAAAGAAAGACTTTGTGATCTCCGCATTGGCCATTAACACCCATTGCGTCAATATTGAGTCAATATCAGCAGGCATACTGAATATGTTCAACTAGTGCAGTGATTGACTCTTGATAATCCTCTCAGAGAAGAGACGCATTTTGAACATAAAGAAAGTTTTATCTTGCCCTGATGTCCCTAATGCTGCTTTACTTAAAATCCAGTTTTAGTCCTTTAAGCAAATGTTTGAAGGCAGGCAAAACAGCACATTTTGCCTGCTGATTTTTTTGTGGTGACAAGTTGAACATGTTGATTTGCATGCTTAATTATTCAGGAATCTAAAGCCTTGTATTGTAAAGTAGAGCTCACTCCACATGTGTTTCTGTCAGCCACATACCTAACCTATAGACTCACACCCTGTCTGTCATTGAGACCAACTTAAATTCTGAAGGCAGTTATCTAGTGGGAAGTGCAAATGGATGTTATAGACCATTTAAAGATCTGTCTGCCATGCCCAGGCATATGTTGAGGGAAGTGAAAGGGAGGTGTTTCTAACATAATAACTTAACGACATGCTCCAACAGCCCCTCTTGCAGTCGGCCTCGGGGCTCTGAGCAGTTTGAGTGACTGCCCGGAGGGTTTAAAAGGTATGCTCTTCGCTCACCACCTCCATAAACAAGTTTCACTTTATTGAGTGGCTTTATGGGAATGAGATGGGTTCATTTCTCCTTTTTCAGCCGGTGGTCTTATAAGTCTTCTGTTTATGTGTTTGAGGAAAGTGCAGTTTTGTTTTGACATGTTTTGCAAGAACATTAAGCTGCATCTGGAAAATGCAAACTGCTGTTTCATGCTTTAAACTCTGCGTGCTGTAAGCTTTCTGTTGCTTCTTGTCCGTCTGCCAAAGCCTCAAATTCTGAAAAGGCCACCAAACAGTCATTTGAATCCTTTTGGTATAAGCAATTAGCACTGTGTTGCTGCTTCACTAGCAACAGTAGACCAGATGTTTAGTCAAACACCCACTGCAGATGTACAGTATGTTTAGAGCACCAGAATTCCAGGGTTTCAAATCTACGCTTTCAACAAATATTTATTTGAGCTAAACATGAAGAGGCAGTCACATCAGTGTTATTCAAAGTATGAGAGGAGGACGGACAGCAGGAGTGAGGGAAGGAAAGGTTTAGCAAGGAGCTGCAGTGTTCTCACAGATCCATGTGAAAACTGTCAAGACGACCCAGCTTGGCTGCAGTCCTGAACAAAATACAATCTCAGCTGATTTATGTGCAGCTGTTCCTGCAAAAACAACAAAGACTGTTGACCTACAATACGCTACATGGCTGAAAAAAAAAAGGAAGCCCGTGGATTGCTTTCTCACTGTCTTCATAAAGCTATTCAGGCAGATGCACTGAGGCTAAGATTACATTCCTTCACAGAAATAGAGCAAAGCTGTCTAACCAGGTGCCACACGTGGCATCCGTCAGTTTGAATCATTTCCTTCTGTTCTGAGATTCTTCAGGCTACATTTCACTTCTGTAATGCTGTTTTTTGATGTGCTGTATTAGGTCACCTCAATAAAACAAAACTTAAATCTGATACAATACCATTACAGACATGAAGTAGATGTTCAGTGTATTTGTTTTGTGAGGCTGGTATCATTAACACCTGTGTGTGTGTTCTCACAGCTGCAGACACTGAGCTAACAAAAAGTGAACACAAGGCCATTGTTATTTGAGTCGAGGTGTCTTCTTTCACCTCTTGTCTCAGCTTGAATCCAGTTTGGTTACTGGTGCTCCATTTAACCATTAATGCTGTCCGGTTTTTATCGGCCTCAGCTGTTGTTAATGTGAACATTGTCCCATCTAATCATCTACATTTGTGGCTCATTGACAGGGTAGCAACTGACCATAACAAGGACAACACTACAGTCATTTTGCGTGACTGGCTCGTCAAGGTGCAGAGCCTTTACCATTATGTGGAGTGGAGGCCAAAAGAGCAGCCCAGGTTGGTGATTTAATAATGTTTGTAGTGAAATGTTTTGTTTTAAAGTGCTAACAGGGACAATAAACTCAGTCTTATAAGTATCCAACTGTGTCTTGTAGCCGGTACGAGCAAGAAGAGGGTCCAAAGCAGTGGACGGACCAGCGTTATGAGCATGTCATGAAGCTCCGGCAGGTAGCCCTGGACTCAGCTCGGGAGATGTGGGCAGACTACTTTATGGTAGGTCAACAACAAAAAACCTTGACAGACACGAAAGAAAGCATAATAACACATATTTTTTTTCCATTTTAAGCACTGAGCCACTATTTGTTCCCCTATCTTTATTGTTCAATTATAGCAGCAGGAGGGTATGTGCAAAGTTTAGTGCAAAGCACGATTGTAATTTAGGCACCAGGAAGGGTGTCAAAAAGGACACAGTTCTGTTTTTCTTGGTCTTATGGTCAAAGCTTATCTGCTGTGCTCTTTCCCTGACACAAAGCTTGACTTCCCATGAACCATATTTCAGCACATTTCTATTTGTATTCTCCAGCCCAGCCCACATTGTCTCGTTTCAGTGGGGTATAATTTTGCAGCTCAGTACATCCAGAAATGCAATAATTTAGTGCTAAAATTTTTGAAAACTGTCCCAGCTTTCTCCAATTAAAAAGAACAGAAACAAAATGAATGGCTTTGGGTATTTTTCCTTCTCAGTTTATACTGACCCAAAGGTCAGCCCTCCTTAACTTTACTGGTTAGCATTTATTCTGTAGATTTCTAAGTTTGTTTCGTCGTTGTACCACACATAGGCTACTCTTCTTTGATACTCTTCTCTTTCCTCCTACATCTCTCTCTATCCCACTTTCCAAGCCCAACACAGTTACAGCAGATGGCTGTTCAGCATGAGTCTGGTTTTTGCCTCTGAAAGGACATTTTTCTTTGCCACTGTTACTTTGCTAAATGTCGCTTAGTGCTCCATGATGGATTAATGTTGGGTCTTTGAAGATGATATAACAAAGAGTAAGGTCTTTTACCTGCTCCTTTGTAAAGTGTATTGAGACCACATTTGTTATGAATTGCCGCTGTGCAAACAAAGATTAGTTGATCAATTGATATTGGCAAACTATCTTTACTGTTTGTTTTCTCTCCCCTGTGTAGTTGGCCGACTGTGATAACCTCCTCACCAATCCCGATGTGGTCTGGAAGCTGATGCAAGAGAATAAGACCATCATTGCTCCAATGCTTGAATCCCGTGCAGCCTATTCAAACTTCTGGTGTGGAATGACCTCACAGGTACTGTGCTGATGATTGGCTTAAAGACAAGTGAAGTGTTTTTATAATGTTTGTTTGAATCAAAGAATCTCTGAACTCTGAACTCATCTCTTAATCACAGGGCTACTATAAGCGCACCCCTGCTTACATACCCATGAGGAAGCAGGTACGGAAGGGCTGCTTTGCGGTCTCCATGGTCCACTCAACCTTCCTCATTGACCTCCGGAAAGAGGCATCCAGGCAGCTGGCCTTTCACCCGCCACATCCAGAATACAGCTGGGCCTTTGACGACATTATTGTTTTTGCCTACTCGGCTCGGATGGCAGGTATTTCACATTTTGGTGCTTAAATCCAAAGAATAAACACATTTACCTTGAATGTGCAGCCTCAACCTGTTGTGAAACTCAGAAAATGTTTGTATCCTCTGCTCTCTACAGATGTCCAAATGTTTGTAAGCAATAAAGAGACCTATGGTTACTTCCCCGTGCCACTGCGATCCCACAATACTTTGCAAGACGAAGCTGACAGCTTCATTCACACCTTGCTAGAGGTGAATGGTGAGTAACTTGGATTCCTTCACTTTTGCTTCCAAATCCTTCTTCCCTCTGGCTTGAAGTCTTTATTCTACTGACTGCAGCTTTATCTAATGATAACACCCAGCATGGGTTTCTATATATCATTTATACCATTTCTGCATCCATCTTCCCTCTCATTGTGTAGTGCGTTATCCCCCAGTGATGCCCTCCAATTACATTCCTGTTCCTAGAAAACAACCTGATAAACTTGGCTTTGATGAGGTGAGTATGAGTGATGTGAAGATGGAGACTGCAAAAATGGCCCTCTATCTGCTTCTATGCTCAATATCTCCCCCTGCTGTTAGAAACCTGTAATTACATAGCCTGGCTCCTGTTGCACTTGTGCAGGTGTTCATGATAAACCTGCAGAGGCGGACAGACCGACGAGAGCGCATGCTAAGAGCATTAAACGAGCAGGGGATAGAATGTAAGGTCATTGCAGCTGTAGATGGAAAGTAAGTTCCCTCTGTTCAACAAATCCATCACTCTATTTTTGAGCTTGGAAATCACACTTGTCTTCACTAACATGTATTTTTTTTTCTCTGTTTCAGAGCCATGAATACCAGTGAAATTCAGGCTTTGGGCATCCACATGCTCCCTGGATACAGTGATCCATACCATGGTCGCCCCCTGACAAAGGGGGAACTGGGATGCTTCCTTTCCCACTATAATATCTGGAAAGAGGTGAACCTCAGGAGCCAAGTGTTTAAACATCTGGGGAGCCGACAGATTGGTGGCAAATTTTTTTAATCTGTGCATTGCCTTAGATTGTGGAGCGACGTCTGGAAACCTCCTTGGTGATTGAAGACGACCTGCGCTTTGAGATCTTCTTCAAACGTCGCTTGATGAATTTGATGAGCGAGGTGGAAGATGAAGGACTAGACTGGGATCTCATGTGAGTTTGTGCTCCCTTCTCAGTTATGAGTTCAACCTCAATCGTTTGTACTGTGACATTTCTTTTAATCATTGCCTGATTTCTTTCTTTCAGTTACATTGGCCGTAAGAGAATGCAAGTGGATCACCCAGAAAAAGCTGTGCCTCATATACACAGCTTAGTGGAAGCAGACTATTCATATTGGACACTAGGCTATATGATGTCATTACAAGGTGCAGAGAAGCTCTTAAAAGTAGAACCACTAAAAAAGATTTTGCCAGTGGACGAGTTTCTTCCTATAATGTTTGATAAACACCCTGTGTAAGTGTTCAAACCCTCTCTAGTACAAAACACACTGACAGAAGTACTTGTGCTGAGCTGTTCTGCTTTTTTTCTGTTTTTCTGAACTCTCTCGTCTCCTCCACAGGTCTGATTATATGGAACAGTTTGAAACCAGAGACCTAAAGGCTTTCTCAGCCGAGCCTCTTCTGGTTTATCCGACACACTATACAGGCGACAAAGGCTACATCAGCGACACTGAGACCTCCACCGTGTGGGACAATGACAAGGTCCGTACAGACTGGGACAGAGCACGCTCAGGAAAGACTCACGAGCAGGCAGAGATCAGCTCTGAGGCGCAGAACTCAGACGTGCTCCAGTCACCTTTGGACAGTACAGCACGAGACGAGCTATGAGAGGAACTGAAAGGGAGAGCCAAATGTAGTATCCCAAAGGACAAACACCCTCAGTTCTTTAACCATGTCTTTGATTCTTTTGATTTTGCAGCGTAGCAGTGATGTGGCATCAGAGTTTGGAGACATTTTTAATTTATCCAGGTGTTACAAGTTATAAAGGGATCCGTTTTGTCCTATATTTTTCATGTTTTCATTTAGTAGTTTTTTATTTTATAAAAGGCGCTAGACTTGCTGTTTGAAATGGCATTTGCAGTACCTACTTTCTGTCTGTCATACAGAAATTATCTACACAAAGCAAACAAATGCATTCAGACTGTAACTTTTCAGTTATCATGCAGTAACTTTGTCTTTATTTGATATTACACTGTGAAAGGCCTTTTAAGAAACTCTTTTGAGGTATGCAAAAGAAGTATGCAATAACCACCGGGTTGTACACTTCCATAAAACGTTTCTTAAACCGATGTGTAAATGTGTCAAATCATTAGCTTCTGAAAAATATGTGAGGAGAAACATCTGCATGCTCTTTTCTTTGATCTTCAGTATTTTTTTCTTTTAAAACGTCTCATTTCTGTGCTTTAATGAATCATTAGCCATCACTAAAGATGCTCCGAGCATCAAACAAAATGAATGGCTTTGGGTACCAAAGCATTAAATTACAGAAGCACCACTTGCAGTCGTCTCAGAATTGATCGTTTTAAAGTTCTTCTGTAGAGTATTTACTACTTCTGGGTTCCTTGTCATGTCACAGCTTTAGGATTGTTTCCAGACTAATGCTGTGAACCAGCTGTTGACAGAGTTATAGATGAGACAAACCGCTGTACACGCCTCTAGCTTGGTGGTATGGGGCCCGGGGGGTGGGGGGGGAAGAACCGACCCAGCCACATCTAAACCTACATGAGTTTCTCCACCTCTTAGTCCAATTGTTTGGATCTGAATTCAAGCTGAGCTCCCAGGAAGTGGATGTTTATAGGGTAATAATGAGAACATTCAGCCTTGTACACAAACATGTTAGAAATGTCACAAGAAATAAAAGTTTTTATTTTTGAAAAAGCTGAATTCGTAGTCGCTGTGATGTTTCTGGTGGAACCATTTCTTCTGGTAGTTAAAATTGTATTAAAATAGTTGAATGCTGTAGCTGTAACACGATGATGAACAGATAAACAACACTGTTAATTAATTCTATTTAGAACAATTCTGTACTTTATGACAGATTTCTTTTCTGTGGAACAAAGTTTTGTTATTTGTGTGGGATGCCTGTTACAGTAATTAGTATTTGAGCCGGCAAGAGTTTTCCACCCGCCGCCTCTTCTCCTTTCCTCTCCTCTTCTTGGATTAAATGATAAATGGAGGACAAAGTGGGGGATGGAAAAAACACCAGATACCAGGTAAACAGATTTGAAACATCCAAAAATGAATTGTTGTTTTGAAAAACACATTTACAAGTCATGTCATAGAAAATCAAATGGCTGACAAAAGTTGACAACATTTTTATGTTTATGGAACTTCATGGAATCTAATGAAACTAGACGCTCATATTTGTTCATTTGGAAACTGATATTTGCTTTGTTTATCCTCAACACACCTACAGCCTCATGTTCAGTGAATATACAGCAGTTCTGATTTTTTGAACATCACTCCCTCTTATGTGATATTGCTTGAATTAAATGATGATCATGTTCAAATTATGCACCGTAATAGCTGCCATGGAATGTCCTGGTCCATTCAAAAACATGTAGTTTCTTACAATCACTTATCAAGCTCAGCAGTTCAATCTAAATAAAGTGAAATCATCTGCAAAGAGAAGGCTAGATATAAAGCCTGTATTTACAAAGAAACACTTACCCCTATCAGTTATTTTTTTAAGTCTGTTATCTAGATTTCATGTAATGTGAGAACTGCATATAGACCTCTAAAAAGTCAGTGAACCACTGACTGCATATAAACCTATCTCTAACTTTCACTTTGAATCATTGGGCAAGAAGCCTTGCAGGTAAGTAGCACTGAGCTGACTTTTACTTCTTTTATCTTGTTGGCCGTTGTTTCACTGAAATAAGGTTCAATGGGTTTATTCAGATCTAAAAGTAGATATTTTTGAAGTCACCCTTATGTAGAACATTCAGAATAACTTAATTCAAAATACAATATTTTTTTGGAATGTGCTCTTATTATAAGTGAGGTAAAGAATTGAATTGTATCTATTCATATAATGCATTACTTGTGAAATTTTAACTGTGTTGTCAGTCCAATATACTGCCCATTCTGAGGTCAAACATCCCATTCTGAGGTCAAACATCTGTTTATAAGTTGAATGATATGCTTTAAAATGGTTTGCAATTGAAAAACTACCCTGATTACTTCAATGAGCTCTGAAATCGTTTTTGTGACGGCAATACAATTCAAACATGCTGGCACCTCCTCTATGGGTGATGTGAGAATGTAGGTGGGGCCTACAGTGACAGCTAGCTTCACTTCCTCTTCCCATGGCTGTGAAAACTTTGGCCAACATCCACTGTGCCAGAAGAAGCTCCTTTTGAAAGCACAAACAGCAGCAAGGTCAGAGCTGCACTCTAATAATTTAGATTTCAATGTGTGTCAACACATCACTGCATAGTTCCTGTTGACCTAACGTTTGACAAACATAGGTGTATTGTAGTGTAAACCTTTAGGGCAGATGATGTATGAGTGACATAACTAGGGTCTTGCTCCTGTGGGAAAATGGCAGAGATGGAAGATCAAGTGCCACACGAGGAGTCCTCTCAAGCTACAGGTGAGCACAAAGAATGTGATGTGAGGCCACAGCGAGGAAGTATCACCATTTAGAGGCAATGCTTGGCATCACGTTAAATGTACTTCAACTCATTACATTTGTCTCTTCAGTAGCCTAAAGAGAAAATGAAGGGAAATGCTTTCAGATTGTTGTGTCAAAACTTCACATCCATGGAGAATGTTTGTTAAGTCTCTGTTCAGGAACTCTTCTCAGAATGACTCTGATTCAAAAGTATAAGATGCAAAGAATAAAAACACTAAAAAAATAAGACTGAATAAGAATTTGAATTGAAACAAGTTTTGTTGAAACGTCTTATTGCTTCTTATTCTTAAAGTGAACACACTGAAAGACTGCTGACGTGAAAAACAAGGAGTCTATGTTCGTTATGAGAAATGACACCAACTGCAACCAGGATGTGGTTGACCAGAATGGAGAGAGAGAGAGATTGCTTTCTCTCACATGTCACAACTGTTGCAAATGGTCTTTTTTTCCCTTTTAGTTTATATCCTTATTAAATAAGAATTGTAGAATAAGTTCTAAAGGTTAAACTTTTGTTTCAAAATGCAACAGATTTGTCTGTAAGTTGTGTTCAGCCAAACACTTTTCTTTCTCAGAAATTTCAAAGAAATTCTGTTCATGTGTCTTCAGTGAAGAAATAAGTTATACTCTATATTTTGTCTTATTAGCAGAATCATTCATCTCAGTGTTTGTTTTTAATGTTCTAATATCATGTTGTACATTGTGCATATAGCAGATTCCTTAAGTAAACATCTATTAAGTCATGCACAAGCATTTTACTGCAAGATTCGATTACCTCAACAACGACAAATCTTATTATTTGGTGATTTCTTGAAGTAATCTGCAATGTTTTCATACTTTTTTAATTTCACAATACATGTCCATACTCCAGTTAGTTATTTGAACATTTGTGTTATTTTGAGATAGTGTCAGTTTGTCTGTGTGCTCAAACCATACAATGTTGAGTTATGTTTAATGTACGGTACAACTAACAGACAATTGAGATATCAGTATTAGCTTTTCCATTTCCTTTAATTGCAGAGGTGAAGAAGGTGCATCATAGATCTGAAACCAAACGATACAGCGAGATCTTCAGAGAGTTTGATAATCTCGATCTATCTTTATTATCTTCGTAAGTACGACACATTTACAAACTATGTAACCTTCTATTTCGTCTCCTGCATCACTTTGATGTTTTTTTTCCAGTTTGACCTGAATTCTGAACGACAGTGGTTAGTGAGGCGTCATTTACTGATGCTGTTTACCCGGCTGATTGTCGGAAACCACACAGGATGATACTTTTCACATATATTTGTCATTTTAGAGCCATATTCCAATCACTTTGACTGAATAATTCATACTTATTGTCTCATATTCTTGTCTTTTTTGTTTTAATGATCAGCTCATGCTACAGCGTGTGATGTTGGTGTGTCGCCTTTATCTATCTGGCAGATGTGCACTTGGAAACATGACAGAAGGTTCATTCTTGGAAAAGAATGCTGACGTACTTGTAATAAACCTTGAGCCTTGGGCATTGCTATTTGACTATGTGATTCTCTCTCAATAAAGTATTTCTGTGTTTAGTGCAGGGGAGGATGTGCTGTCAGACACTGAGTCACAGTCCAACTCAGAATCCAACTCTGCAGAAAGTGGAGAGGTCAAAGAGGAACAAGCTGTGACTGTAAGGAATTCAAACCTAGTTCATGCAATTAATATGAAAGATCTCTGTTTCTAGGTGTGTCTGTTTGTTTGAATTTAGAAAACCACCAACAGAAACTTGACTTCAGAGGATGATATAAGGCCTTTTTTTTTAAGTAATAGTATGATTTTTTTTTTTCCAACAGGGTGACGATACATTTTGTACACTGAAACGTGGTGAGCCCAGTGAAGCCGATGGAAAACAATCAGGTATTATTAGTGCGACAAAGAGATGAAGAAAGAACAAATGAAGTATGGCGGTGTGTGTATGATCTTGTGTGTGAATGTGTGAATTGTGTGCATGTCTAGTCTATGTAAACTGTGAAGCTCATATGTGCTGTGTGTCTCCACTATCTTGGTATGATTAGATCACTGTTAGATTCATTTTCCCTAATCCACCCTGTGACTGACATCTGACATCTCCACAGATCATTAGTAATGGCGTTCAGGAGCTGTTGCTTGCATGTGACCCTAAATGGACTCGCTTTTCACTATTTTTCCTCTATTTAGCTGCAAGTTGTAATTGTCCTGTGGTAATAAGATTAGGATAAAGGGAATGGATAAAAGCAGCTGCCAGCTGCTCCCAGTTTTTACCTCAGATACAAGAAGTGACAGAAGGGTCCTGCAGAAAGAGGCGACGTTAGTATTAAATTGGCTTTTACTGCTAATATAAAGGAGACAAATTAGTCTAGTCTTACTTACAGTCTATAAAGGAAGTCTTTGCCAAACGCTCAGACATACACCACAGGTCACAGCACAGGAGTAAGAGATTAGCAATTACAGGAACAGACAGTGTTTAGAGAACTAGAAATAGAAATGCAGAGAAAGCTAGCCAGGGTTAACTGAGTATACATTAAAAACACAGCTCTGTCTGTGAGTGGGTTTTTGAGGGTCTTCTTTTGGCCATAGGACCAAGACTTACAATGATCTCTGATGCACTCTTCACAGAGAAATTTTTTATTTGGGTATACATTTCACATCATAGAAAATCAATTAAATATACGCCAAGCACATTAACATGCTCTTTGGTAATCTGGTATCATGTCCTGCCATTAGTTCAGATCCGATACCCATCAATCCCCTAACCCCCCACCCCCCAGTCTGTGACACACCAGGAGGTAAAGCTCACTGGGTGCTTCTTTAAAGCTTGTCACTCCACAATCTGGACCTGACCAGGATAATCCCCAATCCAAGAAGAGAAGACCATAGCCATGAGGCAGCAAGGAATCTGCGTGGAGCCTGCTTTCTAAAACAAAGCACAGAAAGGAAAGGCTAATAAAGTTTAACCTTAGCACATCATTTGGCCACAAATCTGTCATTGTTGTGGAATTGCCTTTGGTTCTTGAGGATTGTGATGACAGAGAAGTAAACCTCATCCTGCTTGGATTTTTATTGAACTTGAACTGGACTGGTTGTCTGTGAAAAGGAACAGAGCAGAACTAAATCTGCATGTCACAGTGAGGAACTTAAAAGAGAAGTTGTTGCACTCTTCTCGGCTCTGCGTGCTTGCTCAGTCAAAAATATAACCGAATACTTGTAACTGTGTTTAGGACTGTTAGAAGAAGTGAAAGTTTGAGAGGTGTTTCTGTGCTCCAGGAAAACTAAAACGTGTTTTAAAACATTTCTTTGTGATCAATTTGCTTGAAAAGGAGCTCAGAGAAAAAGACGAGTAGAGTAAATAAAGTGGGGAGCGTTTGAGAGGCCAAGCAACTGTAACTCATACATCATCTGTTCTGCTTTGGTATGATTCAAAGAGGAAGAGCCGGAAGGGTTGTCATAGAAGCACAGTAGAGCTCTGACATGGTGGTGTCTGATGCACGCTGGCACTAAGTGGTGTTTGTGACTGCATTAACCACAGTTTGTCTCTCTGTAGCTGACTGGAGGTGAACAGGTGTTAGAGGGAGGGGCCAGGCAGAGAGAGGAAGAGGGGAGAGGAGGGAAGTTATTCAGCTAAAAGCCGTTTGGATTTGACAATTGGAGACCTCATCTTAAAGGTCCCTTCCTCATTTGTGCCAAGTGGGGGGGACTTGGGATTACAGATTGTTAAAGAGAACAGTATCAGTTCATCTAGAAACCACCGGATCTTTGTTCTGAGGAGCAGATATGGCCTGCAATTTGCAATCATTGTTTCCTGTTTTGGGTTCGTGTACACCTCTTTTTTTAAAGTGACTGATTTTTTAAACATATTTATCTTGGCTGAATATTTTCAGTAGTCGGTGGGGTTTTCAGTCCTGATCTTCCCAAGTTGCTGTTTCTTTGAGTTGGAGTTTGAGGAGAGACTATAGCAGTTGGGTGTAACCCCACGCTGCCTAATCGTTAGATGGTTCAGCTGAAAGTGTGAGTAGCCTGCAGTGATGCTGATGTACTCCCTCTCAGCCCAGGAAGCAGACCTGGCTCTCTGTCGCTGCGAGGGTGGAGTGGAGACGGCGCTGCAGTATGCCAAGATGTGGTGCCGTTATGCCAAAGACCTCCTGGCCTGGATGGAGAAGAGAATCAGCTTGGGTAAGTGAACATGCATACAGTAGTGTAGCATACAAAATATTGTCAAAACATACCTGTGCTGCGTGCCTCTATTACGGTATAAACTAAACACACTGGCAGATGTGGAGATCAGAAAATGCAAAGGTATTGTCTTCATAACTGAGAACCCAGTGCATGAAAATACTCTTATCCAAGTGGAAGTGGTTGTTTTATAAAGGCAGTTCCATGTATTTGTCAAAAGTTGAGACTATTAATCATTTTGTAAAAGTAGATTAGAGTTCAGATTGGGGGGTAACTGCCTAAAAAAAAAGTCACAAACAGTATTGTAGTCTGCAGACTACAGTAAATCAGAGCCTTGCTTCACATGTTGAACAAGAAAAACACAGTTATTTAACCGGTTGTTTTGTTGCACTCAGCGTTCGGGTCAGTCTCCATGTGAGCTATTCACTGACAGCACACATAGGGGAAGGATTAGCAGGCAGATTAGCAGGGCAGAGGAGGGTAATAAAGGAGATGGGTCCATTTGGAGTACATAGACACTGATTATCCTGATATCATCAAGCACAGGTGTCCAGTCTGGGGTTGCCAAGGTTTACATGTCTGTTGACTGAAATGAGAATGTAAAACAACAGAAGAGTAACCCTGCTCAGCTGTGTGAGGAACATATAAGGCAACAGATGAGTAATGCTTGGTGAAGCTTAGCTCCATACCACCATGGATTACACATAGCAGAGCAACACTGTTTACTAATAACAACAGCGTAGTGTCCATTTCCTAAAGGGACATAGACACTTGGGGATATAACAGAGTTGGTCTAAAATGAGGCTCTAAGCATTATAGCAACATTTGTTTTTTTTTAATTTATGTACAGTATCTTCCGTGTAACACTGTCATTTTTGTTGACAGAACAAGAATTTGCAAAAAATGTGTTAAAGACAGCTGAAGGAGCAAAAGTCATTGTTGCACAGCAGGTACGGCTTTATTCATTGGATGTTTATTAAATGTTTACCTTTTAATTTGACTCTTGAGTCATATTGAAATTAATTCCTGCAATGGAGTTGTGTTGTCTGAACAATATAGTTTGCACCTTATTTACTATTAAAAAGCTGTTTAAAGCTGTTCTTGTCTTGGTAGGAAATAATGCCCCTGCAGTACATCTACACAATGGCACTAGAGCAAGACATCAAGAACAGTTTGACCTCTAGAAAGATTTCAGAGCTTCTACAAAACCGCTGTTACCAGGTACAGAATCAGCACATATAAAGAGTGAAGTGTGTTAAATATTATTTTCTTTTACAGGCAGCTACACGTCTTTGTGTTTAATCAAATACTTTTGTCCCAAAGGCTTTGGCTGCCAAGAGGAATGAGATTGAAAGATGGCGCAGAGAGTTTAAGGATCAGTGGGCAAGAGAACAAAAGAGGATGGTAAAGAATGAGGAATCTTGTTTATTTGTTGAAGTTGAGCATGTTTTTATTGCACTGTCAAAACTAATTTATTCCAATTTGAGAAACTTCAGACAAGTAGATGCCTGAAGAAAAAACTAAAATTCCCCAAGTTATCAAACTGCATATGGCTCAGTCTGTATTTTCCCGTGTGCATGTGTGTGTTCCTTGCATGTTTTTAGAATGACTCAGTGACAGCTTTAAAAAAGGCTCGACAGCAATACTTCCAGCGCTGTGAGGAGCTTGAAAAGGCCAAAGCTATATCTGCTAAAGCTGTGGATGATACTGCTGGAATCAAAACACTGGATAAGAGGAGGAAGTCCAAGGATGAGGCCCAGACTAAGGTGAGTGTCCCCCTTTATGTGCTACATGAACTGCTAGTACAGTTTGGTACCCAATAAATACTGTATATAATGATTATGGTATTATGGTGTTTGAAAGATTAACATTTGTGATACTTAAAGGTGCACTATGCAGATTTAGTTGTGAAATTTGAAAGTTGGAGAAGTGAAACAATTCTATGTTCTATATATTCTGAACTGAAACATAAACTTTATTTCAAGGAAAAATGGGTTCCTAGAACACTGTTTGGAGCTACAAAGCTACCAGGAGAGTTACAGTGTCACTGAAGCGGGCCCACCACCAAAACTTCTGCCGTAGCATATTACATTCCAAAAAATTTCCAGGGACCAAATGTTCCTCTGAAGACAGTTTGTGTATAGAGTTATGAACATATACCACAGAAACTGTACACTTCTCCAATGTTCACATTTCTCTACCAAAACTCCAGAGTGCACCTTTAAGCAGCTAGCTCTCTACTCTTCTCTGTAAATCCACCAGGTGACGGAGGCGGAGCTTCTGTACAAGCAGTGTGTGAATGACGCCAAGACCCACCAAGATGAGTTAGTGAAGGTCAAAGAGAGAATTATTTCCCACAATCGCAAGCTCATCTGTCAGGGAGACACTGTGCTCAAAGAGGTTTGTAATCACCAACCTAAACATCTGTCTCCCAGTCTGCATGCTTTCAAAAAGGTTGAACAGTGAAGCAATGTTGAAGCTTACATGGTTAAACTTGGTTTAAAAAAATATTAATAGCATGTAGTAGTAGTTTTCATATTAACTTATTTTAATCAAATGTTAAATCTAAATGACCTGGTCCATTTTTTTATATATATTAGGATGCAGTAAGTCATTGTTTATAGGAAGCAAAGTAATTACTTCTGAAGCATCTCAGCACTTAATGCTTTGGAGTTTTATCTCCATGATGGAAGAAAAAACAATGAAATGATTCCTTTGGATTTCTTCACATCATTCATGTTTAAATCCATTTTTTAAAAATATATATATTTATTGTTATGGTTTTTTTTATTTGAAAAAAAAAATCAACAAGCACCTATATGTTTTCTGACATTATATATGAGGCTAATGCAGATGTATTTGTTTGTTTTATTAGCGGAGTAAAATCACTTTGTCTCCTTCTTGAAGGCCACAGTCAACATGTTCTACTACCAGCGGCAGCAGACAGAGCCGGTTCCCCTGGGCTACCACAACCTGGAGTTGACATGCAGGTCTCTGGAGCCTGGCGAGCCTTACCTGCTCTACATCCTCAGCAACCGTCGCACAGAACAGCCTCTTGAAACATTTACCTTCCAGGAGTATTTTCCTCAGGGCAAAGGGTATGGTACACTGACCAATGACTGCCTCTGCTTTTACTTTAGTTGGAGTGTTTGCTGCGAGTATCAAAATATTGAAATGTATTTGTTTAATGCCAGCAGTTAGATTAATATTACTTGAAAACAAAAATTTGGTAGTTATGGATACATTTTGCAAAGAAAACAGGATGAGTGTGTGATCATCTTCATGAAAACAATCTCACTCTGTCCTTATTTATATAGATGTTTAGGTCATTCAATTCATAGAGTTTGATTTATGACATTTTTTTCCCACATATGTTTACTTTTTATTCAGTAACTTACGTTCATAATCCTTTTTATCTGAAAGGAACAAACGAAAAACCAGCAACCCTCCCAGCTCCCAGCAGGATCACTGTTCACCGGTGACAGATGAAAGCCCTTACAGAAGATACAGCGATGGCAGTAAGGACTCCACCATGATTAAACCATGGTTATATAAACTGACAAATGATCCTCTTTAACTTATCTCCTTATTTCTCATGTATTTTTTGTGCACTTCAGGGAAAGCAGGGTACAGTGACGGGGAGAGTATGGGAGGCAGTTTAGAATCTCTGTCCAGTCCCGGTACGCGCAAGTCTGAATTTGTTTCTGTGATTATTCTTTCACTTTTAACCTTATAAAGAGTGACACCATCAGTTTCCCCTCTTCTCTTTCTCTGGACTACTCTAATGTATAACCGAAGCTCACACAAAGAGACTGCCTAAAAACGCATCCACCCTGACAGTGTCATCTGATGACCTGGACGAAAGGGACATTGTCTCAGAATCAGGTTTGTTACTGAATGTATATACTTCTATTATAGAATACTTCTAAAGAGTGATTCAACTAACCCCACTGGAACTTAAAGTGTATTATTCTATCCCTATGGTCTCCTTCAAGAGTGCATTGACGGTCAGCCAGTGAAGATGCGTAAACCTTCACGAGCTGCACTGACACACCAACTCAGAAAGATGAAGAGCAAGATGGTGAAATGCAAACATTGTGAGAACTACATTGTTGTCAGCGGGGTGGAATGTGAGGAGGTATGAGGCCAGTTGAAGAGAAATACAGTCACATGGTGCTAAGTGAGAGTGCTAATACCCTCTGACTTGTTCTTGTTTAACCTTCAGTGCGGCCTGGCTTTGCACAGGAAGTGTATGGAAGTGTGTCAGTCAGAGTGTGAACACAGGAAGGGGACCGTGTTTGGAGTGGACCTGTCTCTGATGTCACATGACAGGCCGGACGAGGTGCCCTTTGTGGTGCTGCGCTGCACTTCTGAGATTGAAAGTCGCGCCCTCTCTGTCCAGGTATTATCTACCAGCACGGTGCTTGAAGTTCAGAAAAACAAGATATTGAGTTTATCCTTGGTCTGATCACTCGTTTTTTCTCTAAGGGGGTGTATCGTGTGAGTGGGTCCAAGCCCCGAATCCAGAAGCTCTGTCAGGCCTTTGAGATTCAAAAGGACCAGGTGGACCTCTCCGACCTCTCACCACATGACATCACTTCAATCCTTAAACACTTCTTCAAGGAGGTACTTCATTTAAAAGCTTCATTGAATTGGGGGCACCAGTACCTAACTGGTCCCCTGTCCTTATCTTAATAAAGGCATAAAAGTAACCTTTAAAAACTTCAATGAATGCCTTAGGCTTATAAAACCAGATTTAAGTTTGAGACTCAAGATATATCATGACTTGTCTCTCTGTTCTCCAACAATTAATCTCTCCATTCCTCACTGTCTCCCAGCTCCCAGAGCCCTTACTAACCTTTGACCTGTACAATAACTTCATCGCGGTGGGTAAAAACATTCAGCACCTGAGTGAAAGAGAGCCTACACCAGACACTAATGAGATAATGGACATCATTAACAGCCTGCAAAAGCTACTACAGAGACTTCCTTCTTATTGCCACAGCACCTTACAGCACCTGTTGAGTCACCTGCAAAGGTGAGCGTGCAGCTGTGTTAAGAATCCCTGTAGTTACAGTTAACTAAAACCGTCCAGTAGATTTGCCTTTAGATTTCTTGTCTTTATTTTGCTCTCTGCCTTCACAGGGTTTCAGAGAACCAAGAAAACAAGATGTCCCCGAGCAATTTGGGTATTGTGTTTGGGCCGACACTGCTGCGCCCTCTTGTGTCTACGGACATGTCAATGATCGCACTGCTGGAGACCAGTTACCAGGCTGTGCTAGTTGAGTTCCTCATCACACACCATGACGAAATTTTTGGCCTTCAGCCGAGAAGCCGTACGCCTACTCCTCCAGCCCCCACTGCACCTCTTCCTGACACCCCTCCCAGAGCTTCCTGTCACCTGGATGGGGACGTTAACGCTGACTCAGAGCATGAAAGCTCCTCCAGAGAGCGGCCACTCTCAGTAGAAGTAAGTTCATCAGTGAGGAAACGCTCGGTCCAAACACAGACTAGCATTGAAGGTGTATGTAGCATGTTAGTGCTTCATGAGTTCAGTTGGAGCAGTTGATTGACATACACATAGGTCATGTGAGTTCACCTAAACTTCTGCTGATTTATTTACCTGTTTTAAGATTCTTAGCGCCTGTCACCTCACGCTTACGCTGGACAGCTGCTGCTTCTCAACCGCTCTATGACCTGCATGGCCTCCTGTCAATCTCTATTATGTTGACATTCCACTGATAAATAAAAAACAATTAGTTAACATTTACAGTAGCTGTTCCACATGAACTCCAGCCACAAAAGTAAGATAAGATTTATTTCAGAGGGATATAAAAAGGGTTTACTGTTAAGTTAAAAAGTCCTTGATAAATTCTAAATTCAACAGTAATTCATCACCATTGCTTTATGAATCACTCATATACTTTGGTAATACAGTATGTCAGATTATTAAAACTTGTAGAAAACCCCACAACTCAATTTGTGTCATTCCAACAGAATCGAACAATCAAGAGAGAGTCAAGCGAGGGTTATATATCTGACAAGTCTTCATCCAATGAGGCAGTGGACCAGCTCAGCCCCGAAGCCAATGAAAGAGCAGGTAGGCGGGACTTAGTGACAGAGCAGTTCCTCCTGAGTAGAAAGAATAGGCAAACCAGATTATGATAGAATTGAATTCATATGTTTTTATTTCCTCTGTAGTGTATAGATGTTGAGTCTTGAAGTTGTTGATATTTTAAGTAAGATAATTGTCAACTTGCATGAGGAAATGTTTTAAATTACATTTGTTGGAGTTGTTGCTACAGATACAAGGTAACAAACTGGCCTAAGTTTTTATTTATTTAATTTCCCTCATGCAGAAAGTTGAATGCTCCAGTTAACAGCTATACTCAGTAGCTTTCTAAGAAGATAAAGTAGATGCAAAGTACATCAAGAGTCTGTTGTAGTTCCTTTTTCTTTCGAGCTCTACACGTTTCCTCCAGCTATTTTTGGAAATAAGACTTCCTTTTCTATTTTCCTGTAGATTATTGTAAAAACTGAGCGATTGAGATGGATTATTTTACAAGAATTATTAGAACAATGTTTTGATTGTGATCATTTTACTTTAGTTGGAGATCCTGCCAAGTCCTTTGTTTTTTTCCTGCCTTGTCAGTTGTATGCTTTTTTTCTTCTTAGCTTGTTTCGCTCTTGCTTAAGGTCTGTGGTGCTTTTCTCTCTGTGGCTACAGCAGCAAGCAGCATCAAGGCTTCTATGCACTATAAAACAGATTAATAATAAATGAGCATACAGATCCAGCCTGTACTGTAGAACATCCAGAGCTAAGGTTCTGTATTTGCTTTAACAAAAAGCAGTCAAAGCTTGTTATATTCATCCCTAGATGTCTATATTTATCATCTTGTTCTCCCTCCTCTGCCTCAGTCCTGGCTATGAGAGGCCATCATCAGGGTGAGCCAGTGGGGGAGCCAGACCCTGTTTTGGGGACCCAGCCATACTATCGCTTCACCAGACAGCCAGTGAAATATCACCGGCATCATAACCCAGGAACCCGATTCCCTAACCCATGTCGCACAACCAGCCAGCAGGAGGCCCCAGCGAGCGACCATCCGGGGAGCGCAGACAGCAGCCGCAGCTCCTCTCCAGAACCGGGGACACAGAGACCTTCCCCAAGTTTAGATGCCCACAGTGAGAACATCCACCAGCTTCACCAGACCAGCAGAGCCTCAGAGAGTAAAGTGGACGTGCCACTGAACCCCCGCCAAGTTGTGCAGTACATGCTGGGGCTGGAATCAACTCTGACATCAGCTTCAACTGTGACCTCGTCCAGTTCAACACAGGACTCTTCCCAGGTGGTTTCAACTGGGTGTCAAGCTGATCTAAACATTAATCAGTCCAATAATAGGCAGTGTGTTAGACAGAGTCAGACTCTGTGTCAGACATCAAAAACACTTCCTCCTGAGCACAAACTGACCTCACCAGCTCACAAGATCCTGTTGGGCCTGAAGCTGAGACGCTGCCACTCAGGGAAGGAAGAGCAGCTCTTTGTCTGAGGAAAAACGGATTTACATTTACACACCTGCACATACACTGAATCATGTAAAATCACTGATATAACCTTTATTATGTGGATAAACTTCTACTGCTATCGATATTAATCCAGTTCTCATGAATAAATGCTCACACAAATATCTCACAACACAGAATGTAACGCAAAAGAATCATATGAAAGTACCAAAAGTTAGATAATTCACATTAACAATCAAGTCACTGTTTGAGGAGACACAGTTAAAAAGTCAAGGCTGTATTACAACTAATCCTCTGTAGGAGTTTGTTGACCATCCGGTTGTCTTATACCCAAACCAGACTAGAGTGGTTCACTTATCCCTTTAAATATTTCTTGTATAGTGAAGTGCATCAACAGGTTCTTCGAGATCAGGTAAAAAAATGCTACAAGCACATAAAGTAGGTGTCAGAAGTTATGTTCAGAATATCCCTTTTTCAGACATGCTGCACAATAAAAAAATACCATGACATGTTGTAAATGTATATCAGAAAATGCTCGCTGTCATCTATTTGTCGCGCAGAAATTATTTTAAAGTACATAAAACAAACTATGCCTTTATTGCTGTCATAGTGTCGTTACCTTGACTGTTTTGTTGTATGCACCTTTCCTGTTTGGACACAAGGGGGCGGTCTTTTCCCAATGTGGGTAAACATTGCACACACAATAGTAAAAGGTAGGCTAAATAAACCTCTAATTTGTAATTGGGTAGTTTTTGAGATTTGACTTTTCCTACTTCGAAATAATTATTTTCATTCAGAGACATGTGTTTCTAAGATTATGACAGCTTATAAAGTGAACCAAAATTTTCAGATGTTTTGATGAAGCCTAATTATGGTTCACAGTAACTGCTCTCATCTGCATTTATCTTTGTCCCGTTCATAATGTGTTACCAGGATAAGAAGTTTGAGTGTTCATAGATTCTATTACATTTGCTAAGTAGTATAGTAGCCTAGTTGAGCACAGATAGCAACACGACGGGATTTACGTCTCACCTCAAGTCTTTTCCCAATCAAGTGCGCCCTTGGAAGTCTCCGTCTCCGAACACAAATGAAGAAGCTCATCTTCATGTGAGTTATCAATAGGCTGCATCATCGCTCATCTTCCCCCATCATCTTCCGCACCTTCTCCCTCCCTCTCTCTCTCTCTCTCTCTCTCTCTCTCTCTCTCTGTCTGTCCATCTCCTCCCTCTTCACGCACAGAACAGTCAAGGCGCACACACGGCTGGCACAGAAACACAGGAGAGACAATAGAGAATAGTTTGGGTCATCATGGTATTTGGATTATTACCGTAAGCAGCATGCGCTCCGGACTGTGAGATACAGGTGAACTATCTGAAAACGCCGCTGTTCTTCTACTGGACGAAAGTTCCCGCACGTTTTCATGTTGCCAACTGAGATTTCTGGAGGAGTGTGTTTCACCTCAAGGTAGGACTCTGCGACCCAAAAACAGGTTGTCAGAGGAGGCAAACATGTTATTAAAAAAGTATTTTATTTTTTTGCTCGAAAAGCCTTTGTGTTTCCTGCTCATGACTTGGAAAACGTCTAAGAATATTTGTCAGGTTTCAGAAGATGCTCAGGAAAAATAAATAAAAAAGATGAAGTCACGGTGACCTTGCTACTTGATAAGTTATGATCTTAGATAATAAAGAGGATGACTAATTTTATTACAGGTAAGGTTTCAGTCGGTGCTTCAGTAGCCTATCAAACACGTTGCTTTGGAAATCGTCCTCGTGGACATTATTTATGTATTTTCTGAGTTGAGTCCAAAACACACTGCTCAACTTTATACGTTTTACTTTGTTTTGGTGGAGAGGATGGCAAGCCTTTAAACTTCATTTAAAATAACACGCATGATTATTAGAAATGACACAAATGCCTAAACATGAGAGGCTTCAAACTATGAAAAGCTCCGACACCTACAATACGGAGATTCTCACTGATCAATAGAATTTATTCATCCTCATATTACTATTATATTTCCTTTATTAGTCAATGAGACCTCAACCAAAGTTTATGACTTCTACTTAAACAGTTTTATTCCAGTAATCATTTTCAGGCTGTCAGGCTGTTACTCTCGTCATGTTATTACACGAATACGTCAGTAATCCATTCAACCCGCAATTAGGCAAATCATCCAATCAGGGCACATTTACATAATTTATTTATTTATTTATTTATTTTTTAATTTTCAACTGAAAGCGGCCATTCCCGTACAGTTAAGACTTTATTTTTTTTATTTTATTAAATTTGAAAGAATCAGTCTCCAAATAATCGTATGGTAATAGTTAGCCTAATATTCTTCCAAAAATACCACTCCAAAAACTTTTAATTCATCCCCATGCTGTAAATATCATAAAACACGTAATAATTTAGCCAGCCTATTTAGTAAAACGAGTCATGTAAGGCCACCACAAGGAAAACATGCCGGTAGAAAAATAAAGTCTCTGTTTTTGTTTTTTGTTTTGTTTTTTCTCATCCAATTTTGGCTATATTTCTCAAAACGTGTATTTTTGGAACTACAAACAAAAAACGTCTGCGTGTTTTGAAGTTTCTTCTTGATTTTTAGGGTAATTTGGTCGCATTAATAAAACAATTGTACAAACTAAAATAATAACCTGAAATGAGCACAAATACACTAGGATACTGGTTGTATTTTTTTTAGAGAATGTTATAAACATAAATCAAGATAATTCCAAGTAACTCAAATGAAATGCTATACTGAGATAATGCAGCTGGAAGCTTCAAAGGTAGAAATGCAAATTGAAAATGTGTCAATGTGTTAATGACAAATTAAGGGCTGTTAATTGTAGACCAATTAACCAAATATCAAAGTAGCACAGATTAATCTGCAAAGCTTTGTCATTTCTTTTACATTATTATTATTTTATATTTTTTTAAGGCATATGATCAGTATTTCTGCCTTTAAAATGTTGAATTTAATAGAAGCTGTTCATGTGTTGAAGTGTCTAACTGGATCAAAATGAAAACATCGCCTGTGTATTGTTGCATTTTCTGTGAAATTTGTGTCCGACGGATTATAGCCTATATTTGGCCTCATTGACTCCTTTTTTTCCTGGTAGATTTACTGCAATGGTACAGCACAAATGTTTGATAAGCATTGTGCTTTATTCATGTTTTGTGTGTTCCTGAAGCGATCACACTGAGGGAAGGAGAGAAGGGATGAAAACAGAGGAAAGCCAGCAGTCCTGTCTGCAGCAGCCTCCATCCTCAACGCCTTTCGGTGAGTGTTAAACAGCGGACAATTAGACCTAAATGGAAAAAAAAATCCTAATAAAACGTCCAAAATAATCAACATAGAAAAATGTAATCAGGATACATTTGAAAAACTTTTATCAGACGAAAAGGTCAGACTTCAATAATCATCCACAAAATAGCATAACTCCAGAATATTGACGCAATAGAAACCCCTTTAAGTATAAATGTGTAGGATATTAGGAGAACATCTGCATCATATTAAGTCTTTACTACGTATCCATATGAATTCAGCATCATCATAGGCTACGGAAGTATTCCAGGGACATCATAATGCAGAAAAGAAAACGGCCTAATCCACAAGCGTTTGTTACGCTGTCTAGAAAAATACAATTTATTTACAGTATAAAATATCAAATAAGACTCAATACATGTAGCCTATTGTGGACTTAATACAGCTACGTACGAGAGAGATTTAAAAACAGTAACTAATTTAGTGTGGTACGGCCTCTTGGGTAGGCCTTCACCTGATATGGGTGGTGTTGGAGGTGACAGCAGGTGTACTGTGCCAAAATGTTGTTTACACTAAAATGTGTCATCTATTGTAAAATAATAATAATAATAAAGTATTAGGTTAACAGCATGCTACATATTGCTCCAGTGTTTTACAGATGGCCGTGATGTAAACTTGGAGGGAGGCATTACTTCCTTTTGGGGAAGGGGTTACATTTAAGTGACTTGGACGCATAAAGCCATTTTAAACATCCTGTCCCTGCCTCTGTTAGACTCTATATCACGCACTGATGATATGCTGCCCCCCAGGTCCGGAGTTCAGGGGAGGGGGAGAGCTGTGTGCCGGCTGCGAGGCTCCCATCGCCGACCGCTTCCTGCTGCGCGTGAACGAGCGCTCCTGGCACGAGACCTGCGTCAAGTGCGCCGTGTGTTTGAGTGCGCTCACCGGGACCTGTTACTGCAGGGACCGACTCCTGTACTGCAAGCACGACTATGAAAAGTAAGACACACACACACACACACACACACACACACACACACACACACACACACACAGGCCCAAAGATGAAAACAGTTCTTATGAAATGCATGTCCTCCTCGTTTTTCAGAGTTTTTGAATTTCCAAGATGTAGGCTATATTATATTTTTCTTAGACCCCTAAGGTAATTTTACAAGCTATCACTGTTTAGCAGTTTGCGATCTACTTTGGCTAGATTGTGTAAAAGAAACGAATACCCATCAATTAGGTCCAACTGAATTATCTTAGTCAAGTAGCCTAAAGAAAAAAGAAAAGAACAGAAAAAATACTGGAAAAGGGAGCGAAAGTCTGTCTCACTTAAAATGAGATTGAATGATGAATAACATCATTATTTGGACTAAATGCCTCACCAACGAATACCAGGCACAGTTTTGACAATGACAGAGCAAATGGTCAAGAAAGTATGCAGCGTCAGACCTGAGCCTTACAACAGTTAATTTAACAATAGCAAATACATTAATTCCAAAAATAAAATAATCTGATAGAAATAGAAATAGTAAATTTTTTCTTAGCTTTAACAATTATTCTCTAATATATTATTGTATATTGTAAATAGGCCTATTAGATCCCATAAGTTCATCATTGTAAACAAGAAGAGCTTGCACAGGAGCATTCCTCACACTTAATTAATAGCACACTTAATTTATCAAGATACTGAACATTTTTAAATAGTTTAATAATTTCTACTTTCATTTCTGCTCCATTGTACCATCACAACACAAATATTACAGGTAAATATTTGACTAATTGTGTATGAATATATAGCTATACACACTGATGTAAAATCTACGGTATAGACTGTGTGTAAAAGTCTTTCAGACATTCATGAGGCATATCAAGAGGATTGCAGAGATTATTGAGGTTTCAAATGATAAATCAGACGTTGTCAGCACGTCATCCACCTTTAGAGTCGTTATTAGTTGCTTCTTTCCTCTTAAATTCCTATTCTAAACTTAATACATCTCAAGTGACAAATATCTGTATTTGTCTGATGGAGATTGTGTTGTCTGCATATAGAAATAAAATTATTGAGTGATTAAGAGCCATATCCATCAAGTTTATGTTCCCACCTTTGAATTAAAAGCTCTAAACACTGCTGTCCTGCTCTTCCATGCTGCTTTGTAATGGGATGGTCTCAGTTTGACCACTCTGCAAATTACTGCAAAAAAATAATTAGTTTATGAGAATTGTGTGTGTGTGTGTGTGTGTGTGTGTGTGTGTGTGTGTGTGTGTGTGTGTGTGCGTGCGTGCGTGCGTGTGTGTGTGTGTTGTTCCTCCTGTGTAGTTGTTTTGGTGTGCGGTCAGTGGGCATGCCTGCAGTGTGAGCTCCAGGCATAGACATCTGAAGGACGAGCTCCGAGCTTGTTATCATTGTTTTGAAAAGTGTCAGACGGCATCCAGCAGCACAGACACTCCCACTGTACCTGACATCTGGAGGAGAGAGAGAGAGAGACAGTAGGATAGAGTCAGGGAGAGAGAGGGGGGAGCTGCCTAAAGAAAGTCCCATTGTGTGACGTTTATCTTGAAAAATGAGTGGGAAACATAGAGGATATAGTTTATCAGAAATGAAGCCCTGGGAGAATTTTTAGTGATGGAATGAACCCGCGTATTTGCTCTCCTCGTGTAATGACTGTAATTGTAGATCCAAATTAACAGTCAGCTGTTCATTCACTATGGTGTTGATTTAGTCCCCTATACATTGCATGTGGATAGTTGCCTTGTAGTGCGAGTCTGTGCCAGACTTGGCACGCAGTACTGACTGTGACCTTCAAGCAGATCGGCAACAATGTCTCCTTGTTTTCCCTGCAGTCTGTCCATCAGTGCCTTACACCACGCACCCACACTCCCGTCTAGAGCAGGTGTGTGCATTGTAACAGATAACCATGTCCAAGAATCTGGAACGTGCAAAAAGTTTAAGGGGAAGATTTAACCATCTTTAACTTGAAGCTTGGTTGAATTTAAGAGACAGTGAAAGATTAACTGATGATTTCTATGGTGATGGTGTAATTCATCTTATTGTTTGAGTTTTGAAGAATATGTGGATAAAATATACATCACCACCATACAGCATATCTGACTTGTCCAAAAATGTTGAATTTATTCTTTGCTTTGATTTCATCACCCAGCACAATCAGACAGGCACAACTCTCCTCCATGTCCCTGGCATACAATAAAGGTCTCACAGTATAGGATTGGTATTTATTTCTTGTGTTTGGTATTCCTAAAAGACAATGTTGAAATTGAAAAACAAATGAAGAATAGTTTTTGGGAGATGTTCAACTTCTTCATAATTATTGTATTCTGTTGAGGTGAAAACAAATAAGCCAATGTAAATGTCTGTCAATTCAAATGAGAGAACAAATCTAATTTTGAAATGTGACCCCTCCCCCAATCTGATTCCTCTGGGATAAATTGCCTTTAAGGCAAAAGTTTATTCAACATTTGCATGTTTAATGTTGTCAAAGGATATTTTTCCTCAAAATAATTCTGAGGTGATCGCTCCGATGCTCAAAAAGACAATATCCAAAAGGCATCATAATGGTAGCTCTGAATTTATAATCCTTATCAAATGGCATTTTATTTAAGGACTTTAGAATTTGATGGAATATGGGTTGTAAGTCATATTTAAGGGAAGTAGTTGAAACTTAGTGAAATAAATAAGCAGGGACTCTGTGCCACTCATTATCTTTGTAATAAAACAGGAGGTATGCCTTCAGTTTAGAGATTCCCCTGTCTCAATCTGTTATGGTAATGAGGGGATTTAGACACAATTAAATGAAGTGCATCTTGTGGATTTTTTCTTTTGGATTTATTTCTGTGTTGAAACCTCAAGAAATTCTCTGGAACTCCGTCTTGTTATGGACCAGATGTTCAAAATGAAGCTTTAGAATAAATTTGTGGCAAGACCGCCTTCCATGCTAAGTTTACATCGTGGTGTTTTTTTGCACGGGTGCAATCCATCACTTATATTTTTTAAAGGTGCAGAATAATAAAAAAAAAAGGACAGGAAATCTGTGAATGCATTTTTAGAATTAGAAATAAATAGTGTACTGCATAAAAGTTTTAGGACAAGTAAATATCATACCTGCATGCTCATTTTAAGACATTACCTATTTAAATGTGTAAATACTACCTACCATGTTTAGCATCCTACTGCCACATTTTCACACCTTCACACTTGTTATGGATAATGTTTTTTTCGCAAATCTGAGCAGTGTAAGGCCAGTGTTCCCCGGTCAATAGTGCTGAACTGGGACAGAATGAAGGGTAGTCTGGCTGTGTGAAGCCTGCATGCAAGCTCCCTTGTAAGCCACATAAAGGCAGCTTCACCCCTGTGAAAAACAGGTCACCAGGGTGGATATTCACTAAACCTGAGGTTTAATACCTCCCTCTGTGGGGTGGAGGGCACTAGGTCTACATAGGTTTACAAACCCTGTCTTTGCAGACAGAGAGAGGCAGACCCCGGCGCCACAGTTCTAGAATCTCCCTCTGCTGACCAGGTAGATATATGTGAGACTAACACTGACACTCTCAAGTTACAGTGCATTTATGTAAGAGTCTTCCTGCACTAAAATATTGAGACTGAGAATGGAAACTGCATCCTCTACCCCTCTTCCCCCCTTCATACCCCTACCCCACCCACCCTTCCTCTCCCTGTCTCTCTATTCTTTACCTCGTTCATCACTGTCTGCTTTGTAATAATATTTCTCTATTCTAAACCTCATTTCGTTCTTGTTGAGATTGATGACAGCCATGACACCAAACAGTTTATCTCCCCGTTTATCCCTTGTTTTCTCTTAATCGCCTCCCTTCCCTCAGCGCCTCTTTGTGTCTCGGGATGGGAATGGGAGGAGGAGGTGGGGAGGCTGATTGGGCACGGTGCTAATTACCCAGCATTCTGTGGCCGTCCTGTGATGACAGGCCTGACACTGGGCTGCAGGGACATACTATTAGAGAGAATTATGCAATGACATATCAGAAGGACAGCAATCCCTTATCCCTGTCCCTAAAGATGAATGACTCAGTTCCTGTGATAACTTTGAGTGCTTAAACTCTCACTGCTTCATCAGTGATTTGTGAACTACAAAGAGGACACAATATGTGATAACTCTATTGGAACTTAAACATCAATACTTTTGTGCTTAATTTTGGAATTTTGTTGGTGGTGCTCATAAAAATCAAATGTTACATTCACGATTTACTTTATTTTCAAGAAAAATGTCATTTGGAAGGCAGCAGGAAATGCCATCACCTTGCAAAATGAAACCAATCCACCTGCATTGCGAGAAATATTTAATTAAATTGGAACTGAGGAAGTTTTCCTTCAATAATTTAACATTTCTGTCAGTATGGTGCATTTCCATAAGAACGTTTGTGGATCAATGTGTGTTTAAGTGAAACATGGCTGCATAGTGATAGGCTACACATGAATGTGGTGATGAAACAGTCAGACACTACTTCCTTAGCCCAGAGTTTGTAACCTCAACATGGAACTCAACAGATGATGGTTGGAAATGATCCAGAGGAAAGGAAAGTGGGGATTTGGAAGTTTTCATGTTGGGTTGTGCCGTTGAGAAATATTCAGATTTTATGGTGTAAATGACAGCACATTAGGGATAAATCTCATCGATGGAGGATTGGTTTGAAATAGGACAAGGAAGGTAGAGATGAGGTGTCTGAGTTTTTGGGAAAGAAAAGAGCCACAGGGAAGGGCAGATTTTTGTCTCAGTGTATGTGTGTGAGGAGGGGGTGATATTGCCACTGTTTTTGCATAATGTGAGATGAGACCCCATCATCTTTCCTCCCCCACAACAATTTTATAACAGACAGCTAATAAATGTTTCATGGCAGAACAAGCTGCTCGCCTTGGCTTTATTAAATCTGAGATAATAAAAGCAGAGAGAGGGAGGAAAAAGAGGGAGAGAATAGGGGGTCGCACCAGAGAGGGAGAGATAGGGAGATCGGCGTAGACTTTTCTCAAATCGACCGGCTGTATCTCCTGTTTCTGGGGCAACGGGTCCCGCTGTCCCCCGCCACCCCCCTCCCCGTTGCTTCCCACTCCGCCAGAGACAGACAGGAAATGAGAAACGGGCAGACAGGATATTGCGTTCTGGTGGCCTGGGGATTAACTGTTTTATCTAAACTAACACACACACACAAACACACATCTATATCCTCACACATAGAATTCATTCTTGGTAGCATCAGGTGTAAATCGCACACACTCAGAGACACATATCATGCAGACTTTGTGCGCCATGCAGGTTTTTGTTGTTACTTTCAGAGGTACATTACAGTAGTTCCTGAATATTACAGACATCAGTGCTGCTCTCATGTAGAGCTGCGATCTTATTACCAGTGTGAACAGTTTACAATCAGAGTTATGACATGTAACTGTATAACTGTGAGATTGGCTGAGGGTTTGTGCAGCAATGCCTCTTAAGATGTATTTTACACATTGCAGACCCTCATAGCCATTCGATTACAACTTTTACACAGCTTCATTGAGCAATATGACTGTTTATGATTTTACTGTATTGATGCATGGATGGTGCACAAATGAGAGCATCTGTCAGTGTTTTATTGATGTTTGTACCCAGGCACCTTATCTGTATTTACACAAACTGTGCATATTTGTGTTTATGTGTGCATGTGATGCTACATATATCCGTGCATGTGTGTGTGTGTGTGTGTGTGTGTGTGTGTGTGTGTGTGACAGTATTTTGTATATGTGTGTATTTGTGTGAGTGAGCGTCAGTGAGTGGTGGCAGGGGTAGTGAGTATCGTGGGGAATGCTGGGAGATTTTAATAACACAGAAGCAGTGCAGGGAGATTTAATAAAAGGAGATGATGTGATTACTGAACCCTGGCTCTGAGCCATTTTGCTTCACAGAGCAATATCCGCTGAACGTGCACACGCACTCACACCACCACACACATCCATACCTAAGAAATGGATACTGAACAGAATACAACTTAAAAAGTAAAATTGTTACATATCATTTGTTCTTTTAGCTTCAATCACATGAATCCTTGGATCCACCTTTGTTTTCAGGCAACATTTAAGCACACTCATGGTCATTTTGAACACGTTACATTTGTTGGAAACATAAGTTTTCACCTCCTTGCAGATTTGTTGTTTGCGAAACAGGAATTCATCTCAAACTTAACACTCACAATACGATACTATACACTTTACTGTCGCCTTGGCAACATTTGTCTCCGACTCCAAGTGCTGCACACGTTCACTTAATGTTAACAGGAGCACAACTGTTAACTAATACAGCGAAATGGGGCACCCTGAAACCCTGTATTAGAAAATCTATAACTATATAAATATTCATCATTTATCAAAGCAAAAACAACAACTGTACTGGCTCTGAGACACTTTTTATTTATGTAACCATTGTGTTTTGGTCTGCACAATATTGTTCTTGTCAGAGCTCAGATGCTAAACAATGCCACATGACATAGCTTAAGGAGATGAGGAAGTTCAGTTTTACTGTTCGTGTACAATATAACAAGAAGGGAAAGGGTTGATTATATCCATCCAATACTTAACATCAGCTCTTCTGCCTTTACATTTGATCTCATAATCGGTGAGCTTGTAATTAGTTTTGCCCTGTAACCCCACAGAAATCCTTAGCAGGAAACTCAAAGGTGCCTGCAGCCAAAGTTCCCGAGATTTTGCACAACATGCACACAAGCTCACAATCAGAGGTTCTTCTGTCGGCTTTGTAATTCTGTACATAGGAATATTGCACACTTCATAAAAGGAAGGCCATCTGAATCCAAGAAATGTCTTTCAAAAATAGCTTTTCTGATTAATTGTCTAAATTCTATACCTCAGCTGTTTAATGTAAACTTCATTTTATTTGTTTGTACCTGAATTAAAATGCAATTAAAAAAAACATAACCTGTTTTGCACATCGGTTTCATCAACTTTTCAACTGATGTGCTTTAATAGTTACTGCATGTGTCTATAATCCTTGCTTTATTTACTATTAGATACTGCAAAATATTGCAAATACATATAAATGTTTTGTGTAGTTTTTCAAGAAGGGTGCCTACATGTAGAGAGAAAAATGAATACAAATGTATGTGTGTGCATTCACATATCAATCCCACAATCCACAAAAATAAACGAGTGTATACAGTCAAGATTGAATCCATTTTTAAAATTGGTGTAGAACCTTAGTTTACCTGCTCTACAGCCATCAGGTCTCTGTGGTTTATTGGAAGCTGCACCCTGGTCAGGGCCCGTGTGAATAATGCTTCTATTAGAGGGATTAGATTGATCTACTTACAGACCCCCCTCTGAGGCAGTTGCCCCAAGTTGCCTTCATTTGCCATGTTGAGTAAATTCCTACCGTGCTGTGTACACCCCGATTAGGGAGTGTGGGACTTAACCACCAACATCATCGGTCTTATGTCAAGCAATTCTGTGACATTTCTGTTCTCTTCCTTTTTGTTCACATTGAAAGGAAGCATTGAAGAAGCTGAAGTGTGTGTTTTGATGGAGAGTGAGGCCCAGCCGAGCAGGCAGGAGATGCTCTCTCCTGTTTTAATATGTGTAAGATGGCAAGTACTGTGGTTGATGTGTAGTTTTGAAAAGGTATTTAACAATGTTTCAATCGGGAAAGAAAGGGTGAGCAACCTTTTGTAAAACACAAGGTCCTGTCACAATAGATCGGCTTAGGACTGTTAATGAGGACGTTTGTGTTTGCTTTATGGTGTCAAGTTAGCGACACTGTCATTTTGGGAATTTGGGAAGTCTTTGGCAGATGGATTGAGAAAGATTAGCTGTAGCAGCTGCGTTTGGGACAGAAACACAGATTAGGAGCTCTAATGTGCAGACCTGGCTCCTTCTTTACACTCCAGATTTGGGCAACAACACCTTCCTATCACTCGGTCAGGGACCCAACACTTCTGCTTTGTCCTTTCCTCCCCCTGCTCACTCCCCTCTCATCCTCCCCTCCTTCTCAACCAGGTTTGTGTTTTTTTCTCCCTTATTTCAATATTCATTGACCTTTCCCTTTCTTACTCCTAGTATATGAATACTTGGTAACTCTTCCTGGAAAACTTTCTGCTGATCATAGGTTGCATCACTATGTTTTTGATGGTTGACTGACTGATATCAGACTATATACTTATATTAGGTGAGTCTGTGCACATGCCTGTGCGTGTGGATGCATGTGTGTGGGAGAGTCTGTGTTTTTGTGTGTATGTGTGTTTTAGTGTGCATAAGTGAGAGGAGAGATTAACCCCATGCTATCCCCAATCCCTGGTTATGAGTTTACAGCGTCTGTCTGGCCATTGCACTGTTTAAACAACAATCTAATTAATCCTGTCTTTATTAGTTTCAGTGAACTGGGGAGGCAGGCTGGGAGGGCGTGAGGGAGAACTGGGAATGCTGGCAGAAAATACTTGGGAGGGAGGGGGAGGAAACCAAGTGCAAGAGCAGGGATCTGAGAGGAATTTAAAGACAGAGTCTTAGGCCCTGCAAATGGAAATGGGGGTGTTAAGAGATGGTAAGGCAGGAGAGAAGCTGAAGGGTTAGAACATCTCACAGGAGGAGAGATTGAGGGACAAAAGGAGGAAAGTTGTTAAGGGGAAGAAATGGACCTAACAAAGACTCCATATTAAGATTATTTCATTGTGTTAAATAAGCACTTACAGATTGTGGGTGTAATATGGGCATACTGGAGTTCATCCCATTAAGCAAAAAATGATTTAAAAGTGAAACACTTATACCAGGCAGCTCCTTTTTCATAAGCTTACTACTGCCACCTACTGTAATGAAAGGGAAAAGAAAGTATGTTATAAAAATGCAGACGACTGTTATTTCCCTCAGCAGATGTTCACCTTGTTGCTCTGTGAATTGGGTGATGTTTATACGACCTTTAATTAAGAGACTATGCTAATCTGTAGAATCATTTGAGCTGGTTAATGTATCAGAGCTCCTTGTCTATGCCTTCATCTTTAATTACCGTTCACCGTCTATGCCCAATTCTTTCTCTGAACTCCATGACTCCATAGCTCCACATTTTATCAAGGTATCCCTCACATATAAATCTTTCTGTGCACCTCCAGGCTGTTTGTAAGGAAGTGCAGTGCCTGCCTGCAAGTGATTGGCCGTTCGGAGCTGATAATGCGTGTGCAAGGCCAGGTGTACCACCTGGGCTGCTTTACCTGCTGCGAGTGTGAACGCCGGCTGCAAAGAGGTGATGAGTTTGTGCTGAAAGAAGGCCAGCTGCTCTGCCGTATGGACTATGAGAAGGAGAGGGAGATGCTGGCCGCTATAAGTCCCACACCGACTGAATCAGGTAAGGCAGGTTGGTACAATGCTGCTTTGGCTGAAACATATGAATGAACTCAAAATGTCAAGTTCTTCAACATAGTTCTATAAGCAAACTCTGTTACATTCATCCATTAAGCATATTTTTCAGCAAATCCACTCTTAATGACATTCCACCACTTCAGACCAGTGAGCAGATCCTGAAGGGCAAATGTAGGTTAAGGAAAGGACTTCCTTTCAAGCTGCTCCTTAGTTCAGTTCATTTATGATTAACTGAATATAAGGCAGGCCGAGTAGTTTGCTGGCTCAATAAATACTTGAATAGTGAGACAATTACATACAAAAATACTGCTTCATAAAGGCAAATTGCTGACATTAAATTAAAATTACATTTTGGATAACAGTGATAATAAGTCAATTTTCTAATACGATATCTTAACTCTTGAAACAGCTGTTATCCAGAGGTTCTGAGAGGTTTATCTCTAGCCCTTTACTTCTTTTTTCTACTTCTATGCAATTTTCTTTGCACCAATACACCCAGTCAAATTGATTAAGTGTAAACATGACAATAAAACAATTCTGATTCTTACTTACTTACTGTCACATCTTTTTTAGCTAAAGAGGAATAAAATCATACCCTTTCCTGCAGGCTGCTCTGACTGCTTTATTGTCTGCTCACCTTGTTCAGTAAAAAGTGAGGATGAGGATGGTGGAGGAGGCTCCGGTGGGGGGAAAGCTGGTGATGAAGGCAAGGAGCACAAGCGTTCAAAACGACCACGTACCATCTTGACCACGCAGCAGCGCCGTGCTTTCAAGGCCTCCTTTGAAGTGTCCGCTAAGCCTTGTCGTAAGGTGGGTGGGATTTGTTGTCTAATTATGATGTCATCCAAAAACAAACAAAAAATCCCTGCTTTAAATACATTATTGTTAATGGGCTTAAAAATAAAATAAAATAAAATAAAATAAAATAAAATAAACTTTACACTTTTTATTTTGATTATGAAAAACTCTTACCTCTAGGTGAGGGAGACACTGGCTGCAGAGACTGGTCTGACAGTCCGAGTTGTGCAGGTGTGGTTTCAAAACCAAAGAGCCAAGGTGAGAGCTTACATACTTTCTGGGGAAATGTTCAGTTTCACACTTTACCAGAGAGAATTAATTCAGACAGTGTGCGTTTTTGTGCTGCAGATGAAGAAGATAGCTCGCCGACAGCAGCAACAGCAGCAGCAGCAACAGGAACAAGAGCAGCTGGGAGGGACCCGGAGAGGACCCAGCCGAGGAGGCCGCCAGAGCAACGATGACAGTGAGGGTAATAACAGAGTGCTTACTAAAGTTCAGAATAAAAATATTGTACTGATTAGAAGAAAAAAACAATATGACTAAAGGGATTCTCATCTTTACAAAGATGGCTCTAGTACCCATGGCATGGATGGGATACTGGGGTATCCCTCTCTGCCACGTCAGCAACTACTTGCTCTGGACCCAAACATCTATGGTGGAGAGCCTTTTCGACATGGACTTACACCACCACAGCTGAACGGCGAGCAGCTCCATTCCTATGGTGAGACAAGAGGTCAAGGCTGCAAGTTTAAAATTAAAACCTCTCCCCTCAAAATTAAGAATTTGATATTACCTTCCCCTATATTCATGATAATTGTATCACTTCTCAAGATGCAGATATTTGGTAGGTTAGTCTTCACAATAGCAGTAAATGTCAATCAAACTGTAGAGTTGATTGAAGCCCTTTACACGATAGTCAAACTATTGCACAGTCCATTATATTCTTTCCTATTTCTTTCGGAATTGTACAGTTGGGGGTAGAAAGGGAGAAATGTAATACTTGGATTTAAAAGAGTTGCTTCATGTAGCTAAGCACATAGGAAGATGTTTGAAGAAAGTTTCCAGTTGTAAGGAAATTGCTTGGATTATACTACAGAGAATGAGGGAGGTTTGTTAGGTCCTATGGCTTCTGGGTTTACGGTCAAAACATGATTTTTATGCTCTTCTGTGCTTTTTGTACTAATCAAAGACTTTTCCACTCTCACATTGTTTTGTTTTGCCGCAGACTCAGAGACAGTGTTCCATGACCTGGACAGCGATGGCAGCCTTGGTCACCTTGGAGACTGCCTTTTGGCAACAGGAGATGGCAGTCTCCTGGCAGGGCGGGTGGGAAATCCCATTGACCGTCTCTACTCCATGCAGAACTCCTATTTCACCTCCTGACCCTTATAAACTACCACCCTTCCCCTCCGGTTCCACCTTTCACCTCAGAGATGCAGCTAACGGAGTCCGTCCATCGTCATGTCTGTGGGACTACTCTCCATGAGAATGCCTACACCCAAACACACGTCAGAGCTTTTATCACAGGGCAAAATCATCCGAGGTCAGGCATAGACACAATAAAACTTTGAAGCAGATTAGCATAATGTTTGCATTACTATTCCTCGATGAGAATCACGTGCTGGAAATACAGACACTGTAAATGTCAAAGATGTGTAAGAGGACCTAGATTTCTCCTGTTGTATTTATGTAATGTTAAACAAATTTCATAGCACTTTCCAACAAGTACAGACAATTATCAAACACTTATATGTATATCATGCATTACAGAAGATAATTGATTGTTGAAAGTGAATTCCTAAATCAAGTAACGTGTATTTAGGTTTCTCAGCAGGTCTTACAGAAGCTGAGGGTCTAACCTAAATCTGTTAATTGCATTTTTTTTTGGGACAGGACTAGTGATTAGTTATTGTGTGTGAAAGACTGCAGCGTATACAATTATGTATATGGATTGGAGTACTTTTTTGCTCTCAGGTTAGTTTGTATAATGTAACCTGGGCTTTCTCAGGATAATGTGCTGGATAGGATTATACTTTAATTTACCCAATGACTCAATGATAATAGATCACAAAAAGGGAAAATCTCTCTATTTAAAATGACGAACTACATGCTTAGTTTTTGTTAATGCATGACATGTATAATGTGGACCAAAAATGTCTTCTTTTTTTAGCATTTAGTCAATACAGGGTCTTTTGAAAAGCCTTAAGTGGACACAGGGTTGTATAAGTTATTCTAACATAAGCCTTCTTTCTCTTTTACAACTAAATAAAAGAGGAGCACTGCAGTTAAGATGACCAATAGAAATAAAATGCCCAAAAGTTAGGACACTGGGTACATGATGATGTACTCAAAATGTATATGTGAGTATGGCTGTGGTATAATTAATTGTAGTCACTTTCTGTAATAATTTCCTTATCAAGCATCTCAAGTAAGATGTTAGGTAGACATTTTGTACATTCTTCTGTGATAATCTGCAAATATTTAAACTGTAGCATGATGTTTATGTGTCACAAGGTAGATCTAAAGGAACAGCCTCTCAAGTGCCGTTGGATGCAGAAGCATCAGGAGAAGACTGACTCATAATACGGTGCAGAATAAATTAGAATTAGGGTGATACTTGTTTCATGAAGTGCCATTGATCAGCTACAGCTTGTGAAATTCTTTCATGGCATTATGTTGAACTCTATTCCCTGACTCATGGTATTTTTACAGTGATATTTTTGTGAACGTAACTTATTTGTGAGGTATTAGGCAAGTTCCTATCTTATGTTTTTTGTTCAGTGACTGCTAGGTGATGTGCTTTGAATGTAATATTGATGTATCTTCAATACAACTTGCAGTTTCATCTTTGGAGTGCACTTTCCTTATTGTCCTATTATGATACAGTTCTCATTTCCTCGCATGGTTAGAAAGAAAGAAAGAAAGAAAGGTTTTCCTTTCAGTAACCTCCATCAAAGCTTTAATAACTGAACCAGAAAAGGTCTGTTCTGCTTAGTGGTCACAGGGCTCATAACTCAACATCCTCCCGCCGTCTCTCTCACTAGTTTTGCTGATTAGAAGTGGAGTGCCTCCTACTTTTCTTCCCAGAACCCCTATTTATCGGTCATTGACTAGGCAGGAGTGTCTGTGTGGGAGCAATACATTCACATTTAATATCTGACTCTGACTCAGACCTGGAGAAGGCAAGGTCAGGAGGGAAAGACACATGCAATAGAAAAATCAACAGGATGACCAAACTGGATAAGTAGTACAAGCCTGATGCCAATTTTAATAAGACTGTTCAATAATCATCAGTAAAAAAAAGAGATCCTTGAATACAGGCAATAAAACTGTTATGAGCAGTTATTAAATATTCCTAGCTCACTACCAGCCTAACTCACAGTGCTGTTGCATTAATCTCCTACATCTTTGTTGAAGAAAGACAAATGGTCACATTAAGTTACACAGCAGTAATCAAACAGTAATTGTACATAAGAAGGCAGGGGCTCATTTAAAAACCCACCCATCCGTGCTGCTGGGGCTACAGGAGTAACTCGCAGATGATGGAAGATGTCTAAACGCTACGATGGCTGAGGTAACGGATTGGTATCTGGAAAAAAGAAGAGGAGTTCATTAGTATGTTGACCATTACACCTCCCAAAGACGTAGTCCAGTGTAAGTCTTGTTCTTTTAATGTAATAAATCAAAGGTTTTCTTAAAATCATTCAATATTTCATTACTACATTTGTCAGGGATAACACTTTTAACCTCATAGTAACACAGTTATTACCAACACATCACGAGTAAAATTGTGCATATTAATTCTAAAATGGAACAAAATAATTTCATATATTCCTTCAGTGTAATGAACTTGTGTGTATTATCCCTTATTTATGGCAATATGTATCTGTGCGTGAATCTGTGTGTGTGTGTGTGTGTGTGTGTGTGTGTGTGTGTGTAATATGCACATAATCGTTAAGAATATGTATTCATTTTTGTCTATTAGTGTCTGTTCCTCTATCTTTGTGAGCATATATATATGTGTTCAAACTAGAGCATGACCAGTGATCAATGAGTGCTGGTATGATTTGCTCCAGCCAGAGCTTTACTATGAGCTTTGTATGTCTGAACACTGTGAATGCACTAACTTTCCAGTTAAATGAAAAAGGAAAAACTCCCTGTGTTGTGTTTATCGCAAACCCCAATAAGAACTTACCCACTCCACTGAGGTCCACTGTCTCTGCACAGCCCAGAAAGCGAGCCACATGTGGTGAGCAGGAGGTAGGTTGGTCCTGGTTCTCTCTAAGACAGCGCTCAAATTCCACAAATTGTTTGGAACAGTCCTGTCTGATTTTCTGTATCACTGGGCTATGGGAAAATAATGGGAGCAATCACTTTTGGCTATAAAATGAGGATGTTAGAGTAATAAGTGAATGTACAGGTGTGTTGCCTTACTGTGATGATGTGCACTGTGCAACCTTCATCTTGAGCTCATAACACTTTTCTTGCCATGTCGATGGATTGGAGGCCACACAAGAACCGTACGCCTCCATTTCTTTATGGCAATACTTTGCCGTAATATCCATTGCAGCTTGCCTGAAAGGTAACGTAATTTTTGTCAAACATTAAGTGATGGTACACACAAGTCAAATGACCATCTCCGGGTCAAACGCGTACTGTAGCCTAAAGCAAACGGAATAATGCAGTTGGGTATAACTTGATTTTAAAGTAGCATGTCTTAATCTACACTCTGTGTAGCCTATACTTCTATATCAACTTGAACATTTAATGTTGGTAAAAAGGCAAAAAGCCTTCGTTAAATGTCTTACATGGTCCGCTTCTACGTTTGCCTCAACGAAGAAGCTGATGTATGAAGGTTACAGCAGTAGGAACTATTACCCCATGTGTAGCTTCATGTCTGTGCAGCAGCAACTACACCATAAACGCCCATCACTGTCTGATTGGATGAGATAAAAACATTGTGAACATTTTCTCTGATATCATTGGTGTAAATCAGCGTCAATCTCCCACCCGGTCTCTCTTCTATGATGACGAGGGATTTATTAAAGGGGAAGCACCTAGCCATATTTTTGTAACATCAAACGACAAATACAGTCAAAATATGTCATATAAACCTCTTTGTCCTAATCTAAGATGACGTCCAGCATAAAGAGCTCAATTTAACAGTTTGGAGGATTGCAATTATTGGAGTTTTTACGGTTCAACCGTTCTGTTCAACGAGAACATTACGTGTCTTTACGTGTTTACGTATGCGGAAGCTACGGTCGGAAAACGAGCGATTCAGTAAAGGGGATCTGAAGGCTGGACTGAGTACAGCTCTGGGTGTAAAATATTATTTTTTTACCGTCTTCAGCACGACGGGGTGGTGATGGATGATAGAGGGGGACGGAGGAGGGATGAAAGTATAATGAACGACACCGAGAAAGAGGGGAGAATGGCTACAGAACCGGGAGAGCTTCAAATGGCCCCTCTGTGAACCACGACCAGCATGACATCGGCACCGGCGACGAGCTGGTGAGCTCGGTGACTCTGTACAGGCGACGGCCCCGACTGCTACACGGCACTATCTTACCGTTCCTGACTGTCCTATACCCAGGCTGGCTGTACGTATGGTTAGGGGTGTACGGTGCCTCGGAGTACCCGGAGGCAGGCCTCCTGGCGCTGGCTGCTATCGGGATCGCGCACGTCCTCACAGCTCTTTCTGGATATTGGTCGGTACACGCGCACTGTTGGCTAACTTGTTCTAAGGTAAACACAAATAATAACATAGTGCAATGATCTACTGATTTCTGTAGGCAACCATCTCTTTTCCCACTCGTTGTACACAGAGATGAAAGGTCACGCCAGGAACTAAAATACCAAAAATAAACTATGACAGTGTTTGAATTTGTTATCTGATCATTTCACATCTCAGGAACCAGACCCAAAAAAGGCTATGTTGGCAAAGGTCATACCCACCCCAAACAATGGCTTTGCTGAGCTCGTGGCACTACAGAGGGATCAGGTGGGTTCACATGTTTACACTTTATGTTGTCTTTACTGAAGCTCAGATTTTGACTCACATCATTTGGTTTTGCCACTTATTTCATATCATATTTTCATATTTGATTTATTTGCTCAATTCAGTGTATGGTTTCAACACCATACTACACAACAAAAAATATTTTCTCATAATGCTGAAACACTGTTCATGAGCAAACAGGAGCAGGAAGAAGAAAAGTCATAATGCCTGCCCCCCTTTCCTAATAACATAAGATACTGTTTAACAGAATAAGATGGCTAACCTGTTGTTTTCTCTTTCTTTCACAAAACAAAAAATAGATCAAAAATATAGAAACAATCAAATACAATCAGTTAGATTAACTCAATACATTCATCATTTCCCAGAACCTTTTCTTTATACATTCTTTTAAATTGAATGATAGTTGAGCAGCATTTTAAATGATTATCGACAGAATTCCATAATTTAACTCCTTTACTGAAATACACATTTGTTTTAATGTAGTGTGTCCACTTAACTCCATAACTGACGTTATTTTTATTCACACTTTGTATTGCACCTGTTGTAAGACATAATCATGTACCAAACATCCTATTTTTAATGAATACTGTAATTTTATTTTTCACTGTCTCTTGTTTTGATCAACAGGATGACAACGGGGAAAGCATTCTATCTTTTGAGTTTCAAAAGATACGCTATATATTTGACCACAAAGAGAAGAAACATTTCTTTCCAATAGCATTTCCCATAAACCACCCTATGGGCCACTTTCAGTCTTGCCGTGGGTATCAGGAGGAGGCTGAACTCAGGGCTGCAGAAAAGTGCTACGGCACCAATCGTGCTGAGATGGTGGTGCCAGATTTCCTGGAGCTCTTCAGAGAGAGGGCCACGGCTCCCTTTTTTGTTTTCCAGGTATGTTTACCTGGTCAAAAAAGTAGAGCCTGAGTGTTGAGTGTCCACGACCATATTTATGTCTTGAACAATGTTAAAAGGATAAATCAGCCACACAGCCCGTTTGAGCTGAGCGGCTAAGTGATGCAGCCTTCACACTTGCTCAGGCGTGCCATTTGTGTGTTAATGTGAATGTTTGATCATGTTTAACTTGTTATTTTTGTCTGTCTAAAATTTGGTATAATTTTTTATTAATTATTGAATTGCTTAAAAATGATAGAATCTGTATCCAAGTGAAAAAGTGTATTGTCTGCCATGTATACATTAGGTGTTCTGTGTGGGGCTTTGGTGTCTGGACGAGTACTGGTACTACAGCGTTTTCACACTTTTCATGCTGGTGGCATTCGAGGCTTCCCTCGTCCAGCAGCAAATGAGGAATATGTCTGAGATCCGACGCATGGGAAACAAGCCTTACATGATCCAGGTAGGTTCAATCGAATTTTACTTTCAGCATCTTTAATTTTTAAGTTATAACAAACAATTGACTTGCTTCTCAACATTTCATCTAGGCTGTGTTTTCAATGTATTAAAAGCACCCCAAGTTTAATTTAAGTGTTCTGTTTAAGGTATATCGCAACAGGAAGTGGAGACCAATTTCAAGTGATGAGCTTGTCCCTGGTGACATCGTCTCAATAGGTAAATGCCCTGGCAACATTTTTGTGACCACTTACTACTGACTTTCGATTGATTCTGGTAGGATGTGTGTTGTGTATAAAATGTGTTGTGTTTTCTGCTTCACAGGACGTTCACCCCAGGACAATTTGGTGCCTTGCGATGTACTGCTACTCAGGGGCCGGTGCATTGTAGATGAGGCCATGCTCACCGGAGAGTCTGTGCCCCAGATGAAGGTAAGTCGCATACTAATATGATGAGGGAATGAAGAGCTGAGAGTGTAGACTTGAGGTGTCCTCCCTTACTTTAAATGGAATGGAATAACACTTCAGTAATGTACTTACTGCTGTCAATGTGTGGTCTGCAGGAGCCAGTAGAGGACTTGGACTCAGATCGAATTCTGGACCTTCAAACAGACTCTAGACTCCACATCATATCTGGGGGGACAAAAGTGGTCCAACATAGTCCTCCTTTAAAGGCCAGTGCTGGACTCAAACGTAATTCCTCAATTCCTGTTTGTTTCTAACGGAATGTAGTTACTGCTTAATGAGTGTATTCAATAGTCTATGTCCCATCTTCATCATTAAAAACAAGGTGCCTGCTCATAAATCTTTTCCTTTATGTGCAGCTGTAGACAACGGCTGTGTGGCTTATGTACTGAGAACAGGATTCTACACCTCTCAGGTGATGATTTTTCTTTGTCTGTTTTACAAACATGCAATACACTTGTTTTTGTGATGCATTTTCATTTTAGAACATGATGAGCTGTCAAAGTGTTGAATGACTGACTGCCTTTACCTTCAGGGTAAGCTGTTACGGACAATCCTCTTTGGTGTGAAGAGAGTGACGGCAAACAACCTGGAGACTTTCATCTTCATCCTGTTCCTCCTTGTGTTTGCCATTGCTGCAGCTGTTTATGTCTGGGTTGAAGGTGAGAAGCACATAATCAAGTCATTAAGATGTATTTCTTAGTTAAACTCAAGTTAAAAGCTGGTTGTAGAGGCTTAAGTCATATCTAATATTAAAAGCTAAATACTTGTGTTTTGTATTACTCACTCAGGAACCAAAGATGCTAGCAGGAACCGCTACAAGTTGTTTCTGGAGTGCACATTAATCCTCACCTCGGTGGTTCCACCAGAACTCCCCATCGAGCTTTCTCTGGCAGTTAACACATCTCTTATCGCCCTGGCTAAACTATGTAAGTTGCTTTGTTCTTCCTTCCTGCCCACATGTCAAATGAATAAGAACATACATTGACAAAGCAGCTAATCATTCAAAACTTGTAATGCAGCTGTAAATTTCGGTCTCCTTTTTTCTTTTTTTTTTTACCCCTACCCAGATGTATTCTGTACAGAGCCCTTCAGGATACCATTTGCAGGGAAAGTTGAGGTTTGCTGTTTTGACAAAACAGGAACACTGACCAGTGACAGTTTGGTGGTACGAGGAGTGGCAGGTCTCAGGTAAACCCTGCCAACTATTCCATTTGTTTTACATTAAACCAGTGAATTTTGTATTTTCAGTAAGTTATCATTTATATACATAGGCAATAAGTGGAACATATCAACTAATGTTTGGGTGTATAACAGAGAAGGAAAGGAGGTGATGCCTGTAACTGAGATCCCGGTTGAGACACATCGAGTGGTGGCCACCTGTCACTCACTGGTCACTCTGGATGATGGACAGCTTGTTGGAGATCCCTTGGAGAAGGCCATGCTGACTGCTGCTGATTGGACCCTTACTAAAGGTAGAGGCAAATAACCTTTACTAAATGCAGTAGGACAGAGGCAGGTGTTTAAGAGAACATAATGTATACTTGGTGTTCTGTTTTTGCTTCAACATGCATTTGTTCCCAACTTGCAGCAGTCTTTTAGGTTGCACCAAGCTTTTGTAGCTCTGTGGTGTGGTATGATTAGTGTATTTAACTTTGCTCTTGTGTGGGCATATTTGTCTCTGGTCTCTTTGTAAAGATGAAAAGGTATTCCCAAGAGGCATCAAAACCCCGGGACTAAAGATCCACCAGCGCTTCCATTTTGCCAGTGCTCTGAAGAGGATGTCTGTCCTGGCTTCCTATGAGAAACTCGGCTCCTCTGAACTCTGCTACATCTCAACTGTAAAGGGAGCTCCAGAGACACTCAGAGGAATGGTACATATGTTCATCTCCCTTAATGTGTAAATTATCTAGCCTAATCAAACAAACTCACTGATGTTCTAATGTGGCTGTGATGTAGTTTTCAGAATTTCCGGCGAGTTATGATGAAGTCCACAAAGAAATGTCACGGGAAGGGGCTAGAGTGCTGGCCTTGGGTTACAAAGAGATTGGACACCTCAGTCATCAACAGGTTCCTATTACATTTCCCTCAGAACTATGTGTGATTATCTGGTCTGTTTGTGTAATCTTGTCTGATTTAGATAGATTATTATTAGAATTACAGCTAGAATCTTTTTGGGTTTCATAGGTCCGGGAGATGAGTCGAGATTCTCTGGAGTGTGATTTGCATTTTGCCGGGTTCATGGTTGTGTCCTGTCCTCTCAAAAGTGACAGCAAGGCAGTCATCAGAGAAATCCAGGAAGCGTCTCATCATGTAAAGAAACTGCAGACATACAATTGTTTACAAACAGACAGACAGCATGGTGGATAATTCCTGTCTCTCTGTTTTCAGGTGGTGATGATCACAGGGGATAACCCTCTAACAGCATGCCATGTAGCAAGAGAGCTCCACTTCATCCAGAAAGAGCACACTCTCATTTTACAGCCAAGTCCCAATCAGGGTAAGACAAGTCACCACTTTACAGGATAGCATTTAACACTCTAGTAAGCCAATGGAGATTCATGTCAACAGATTCTTGTGGTAATCTAGTGGGAGTATGTTTTTTTTTTTACCATACTCTTTGATGTTATTTTTTCCCCCAGCTGAGTGGCAATGGGAGTCCATTGATGGCACTGTTCATGTCCCACTGCCCCCTCCGAGTGTTTCCTCATTTGTGGACCAGTTTGACCTGTGTGTAACAGGAGAGGGTTTGGCCAGACTGAGCTGCGATCCCCAGCTACTCAGCAGCCTCTTACCTCACATAATAGTGTTTGCCCGTGTCAGTCCTAAACAGAAGGTAGGTTCCAAATCAGCCGCTTAATGCAATTTATTGAGAACTTTCTAATGTAATGTCCACTGTTCAACATACAGTGCTGCTAACAATAAACAATTAGAGAAAAAACATGTTTGGTCCTATTTGGCATCATGATGGTTTTTTTTTTCCAAGAGAAAGGGGTAACTTGCTGAACATAAACAAAATACATTATTTTGAGGTTTTAAGGGACAGCTTCAAACATTTCATATCAAACATCAAGTCACTTTCAGTTGTTGTGTCTTTTTGTTGGAGGGCATGGACTTCTTTATTTAGCAGTAATAGAAAGAGGTACATTGCAGAGGTACAGTTTAGATAGATTTTAGTCACAGTAGTTTGTCTACTATAAATCAGCAAACATATGGATTTAACTAGTGGACACAAGGTGCTGTTAGGAGTCTTTTACGGGAAATGTATGGATTATGGAATCATTATTTGAGTTTAGACAGATTGATGACACTTGATTTTAAAAGGTGTTTGAGAAGAAATATCTACAAGATCGTGGTCTATTCTCTTTCAGGAATCTGTCATCACAAGTCTAAAAGGGCTTGGTTATGTGACATTGATGTGTGGTGATGGCACAAATGATGTTGGAGCTCTTAAACATGCCCACATAGGTAAGATTCAACACCAGTAAAACTGAGATCAGCTGTTTCTGTGTGTATGACCCCAGCCGCGTAAAGTAGTGATAACTTTTTTTCCTCAGGTGTTGCTTTGTTAGCCAACGCCCCTGAGCGTATGCCTGACAGAAAGAAACGTGGGAGGGAAAAAGAGGTGTCTATACCAGAACCCAGACCCTTGCCACCAGTCAGTTCTGGAGGTAAACTGAGTTCAAGGGCAGCCAGGCAGAGGGTTATGGCCCAGAGAGAGGAGCAGCTTGCAGCACAAAAGGTGTGTGTCTCTGTAAAGTCTTCTCTTAATAGTTTACTTAAAACTTAACTTCTGTCCCATTTGTGTTTCTTTTACAGTACCTGAAACTTTTTTATTTGTACAGGACTGTATCAAGTCCAAATTAAGCCCACTTCCCAGTCACCAACAATCATGAAAAAATAAATGTATAACTTAAAAAAATGAAATAATATGCTTGATAAAATAGAGTTTTAGTACAATGGTCTGAGAGATGGACTATATTCTGTAACAGGAGAGGATCAGTCAAGTATTACGGGAACTAGAAGAAGATCAGGTACAAGTAGTGAAACTTGGTGATGCCTCCATTGCTGCCCCTTTCACCTCCAAACTCTCCTCCATACAGTGCAGTGAGTAAAAATGGTTTATCATTTCAACTCTTTATACAGTTGTTAAACGTAAAAATGGACGAAATTCTAAAAGTGTGTCTCTCTCTCTCCAGTCTGCCATGTAATAAAGCAAGGCCGTTGCACTCTGGTGACAACACTCCAGATGTTTAAGATCCTCGCTCTCAATGCCCTGGTGCTGGCCTACAGCCAGTCTGTACTCTACCTCGAGGGGGTAAAGTTTAGTGATTTCCAGGCGACTTTGCAGGGACTGCTCTTGGCAGGATGCTTCCTCTTCATCTCTAGATCAAAGGTGAAAATCTTTTAGAAAACACAAGCTCTATATTTTTGATGAGTAATTGTCTTAATATCATTAGGCTACAGTTTTTAAAAGAAATCAGATTGACCTTTTTCCTAATTTTTACACAGCCACTGAAAACTTTGTCTCAAGAGCGGCCCTTACCAAACATCTTCAATCTTTATACGGTTTTGACCGTGCTGCTGCAGTTTGCTGTTCACTTCTGCAGTCTGGTCTACCTTTACAAAGAAGCACAAAGCAGAAGTCCGCCAAGGTAAATCCCAGTAAGATGGAAAGAGGATGAAAAAGAGAGTTAACAGCATATTGTATAAGTCAAATATCCACAATAAGTTATAACATTACACTTCTTCTATCATTTTTCAGAGAGGAAATGTTTGCAGATCTATATAAAGACTTTGAACCCAGTCTAATCAACAGCACGGTCTATATTATGTCCATGGCCATGCAGATGGCCACCTTTGCAATTAACTACAAGGTAATGATTTTTAACAGCATTTGTAGTTGATGTTTCTGTCTTGTAGTATTATATACTCACAGTATTTCTTTATGGGTCCAATAGGGTCATCCCTTCATGGAGTCACTCAGCGAGAATCGACCTCTACTATGGAGCATTGCTCTGTCAGGTTTAGCCATTGTAGGACTACTTACTGGTTCCTCACCAGAATTCAACGAACAGTTTGCTCTCGTAGATATTCCAACAGAGGTGAGCTGATATATATTTTTTTTGCCATGTGTTCTTTTGTCTTAATAACCTTATTAGAATGATGTACCCCACATGGTGACCTGAGTCCTGTTTACTTCCTTGCAGTTCAAACTGATCATTGCCCAAGTTCTGGTGGTGGACTTTGTCTCCGCTCTGCTGGTGGACCGAGTCCTTCAGTTCTTGCTAGGAAAAGGAACTCTCAGGCTGCCTTCTTGAACTCAGTGCCAACAAGAACCACGGCCCTTACCAACCAAACATTAAAGGGAGAGAAGACTATGGCGGATGAAGAGGGTTAAATCTGCTGTGGCATACTCAAAGCTTCAGACAGTCATGGCGTGCAGTACTTTACACTCTGTGTATCCCTTCCTTCATCCTGCTCTAACCCTCCTTAACAATCTGTGATTCTGCTCTGTTTTCAGATTTTTTTTCTTTATAGCTCATTATTTTCTACTTTCCAATCTCTCTTTCTTCATCCGTCTCTCCCCCCTGATACACACAGCCATGAAGACAGCAGTATTGACTGGAGTGCGAGACTGTGTGCGAGCCAGACTGAAACATAGAGGCACACAAAGAGGACATTCTCTAAGAGAATTGCAAAAGTGTTTTGATGTTTTTGATTCCTCACCTTGATTTTGTAAAAAGTGGAAAAAAAAACTCTAACAGACTTATAAAGACTTACAGAAACAAATTGTGAAATCTGTCAAGTGTTTTACAAGTACAGCTGCACTTGAAAGGATGTTCATGTCCAGCTGGTCGTGATCTATCCTGTTCCTAAAAAAGGTAAGTAAATAACGATCAGGGTATAAGAATACATGTGACACTGGCAAAACAACCATGCCATGTCATTGAGCCTCAATTGATCAGAGATTAACTTTGTGTTTATGTATATCTAGAAGAAAAACATGCTGATGTCAGGACAGTCGCAAATTGCAGTTTGCTTTATTACTTTGAAATGAACTCGAACCTTTCCGGAAATAAGAAAAAATGGTTATACTCTGAATTAAGTACAGTACCAATAACAAATGCAATCAATATTACGTAGGTTGTTTGTAAAATAAAATGCAAAGCGGTAAGTACAAAACAAGAAGAATGTGATTCCGGTCTATAGAGGCTGAATACTCAGTGCAAACAAGCTAGTAACATTTGTTTATACAGACACTTTTCATAAAGTGCTTCACAGTCAAGTAAAATAATCGTGCAAAAATAAAAACATACTTTATAGAACAATGAAACCCCTGGTAACATCTACAGTGATACAAAAAACAGATAAAGTAAAGACGAACAGACAAAGGACACAGATACAAATGTATATCGTTATATGCTATTCAGAAAAATATTAGTGAAGATGTTGTGATTTGATTTCCTGCAAAGTTGATTGTTGCTTCCCATCAGAAACTGTTCAAACTGCTAACTTAAAACTAGTAATCAGGGACATTTTGGGGGAAAGTGTTAGTTATTGTAAGGGGAACATAGTGTAGGGTTAAGGGGTCAAGACAGAATTTATAATCTAAGCAGATAACACTGCTAAACTGGAAAAAATAAAAACCACAACAACTTGAACCCTTGTCAGCCAAAATGTAATAAAACCTCATTGGGATATCACAGTACCAGCCAATGTGTACAAAGAGTATCAGGACCAAGATTTTTCTTCTTAACAAGGTTCACTTTCTCTTCAAAAAAGTCTTTGGGCCCTTAGGCAGTAGGCCTATGTGTAACCTGCAGATGTGCAGTTTTATCCCATGTATGGATTCTATCGTTTGTATTTGTACTCTATGTAATAGGGGTGAAACCCCTGTTTTGTAGCCTACTCTTTATACTTGTTCAACTGGGGAGCACACTCGGAACAAAACGCAGATTTTTGTCAGTGCAAAATTGCAATTTATTAAAAACAATAAATAATAAAAAAAAAAAAATATTGAAACAGTTCAGGCAGGGTCTTCTATATATCAATATATCGGTCTCCTATCTATCACTCTTATCTATAAGCTTGGAATCTCGTTACAACAATACAACACTACATTTCCCATGGTGCTTCATGCGGTGCAAGGGGTTTGGCGTGTTGGGCGCGCGCTGGGCAAGGCGTTTCAAACAAAAATGGCGGAAAAACATTTGGAAGCAGATAAAGACGGGTTTGTACCATTTGTTTCAATTGTCGCAAGAAACAATTTAGCATCGAAAGTTGCCAGTGTATCGTGACTGTGTAGTTTGGCTTTTTTAATGTGTTTATTATCGCTAAGTATTTATCTTACTCTGAGTCTTCCCCAAATCAAACCAGCGCTGACAGAAGTTGGACGTAATGACTCGTCATGGCTTCACTAAGTACCACTATGCTATTTTACTAATATTTTGCACTTCATTGAAAATCCTCCTCTTTCTCTTGCAGTTGCAAAAGTGTCGCCGTCGCTGACACCGAGAATGAGGTAACATTTATAAATCTCAGCTGCCTATTAAATAGCTTCACTAACAGCACCTCATCTTGTGACCGATGTATGTCATTACACACTGATTTTTTATATTTTTATATTTTCTTTAATCCTAGACCAACTCTGTGGAGCAGACCTCGAAAAGATGCTCCTCCACAAGCCCCGGTATTCCAGCTCCCCCACACAAATCTCCCCGTACCGACTTCCCATCACCCACCTCTCAGACGCCAGCTCCTGGGGAAGGACCCTCAGAGACGGACCAACAAGAAATTCAGAGTTCAGAGAATATTGAGGGACCCACTAGCCCCACCGTCAGCCCCATTGCACGGAGAAAGTCCTGGAAGAGAGCCAATATAACCCGACGCTCTCTCCCTGCCCTTCAGAATCCCTATCAAGGTGACATGTTTGACTTTCTTTTACCTTGCCATCAGTGAATATTGGCCATTGTGTTATCTTTTTATTTACATGCATATAGATACAATGTTTATTGTTATTTGTTTATCATAGTGTTGTGCAGAAGCATACATCCGTCCTTACCACAGGAAGAGAGATTTGAGAAATTGATTGAGGCTTCAATGAAGGTGAGTGATGCAGAGTTGTAAGTATTGGTAAATTAATTGATGCCTAAATGGGAAAAAAATAATATTACATGTATTTCCATCTCAAAAGTTGAAGACCTTTTCACACACTGTTACCATTTTAAAATATATATATTTTTTAAGTAAATCAGTTGATGAACAAACAAATTGTCATTTTTAGGGGTACTGAAAACACTTCAGTGTTTAATACTTTTATTAAACCTAGGACTTGGTAACAGTCTCTATCATAGAGATGAATCAAATGTTATGATTGTTCATTGGTACCTTCTTACTAATTTTAATGTGGTCCTAAGTGTAAAGTCATTATGCCACCTACGTTATGTGTAGACTTTAAGGATCTTTTACATGGTACAATGGTCATTTTATTAATGGAGCTCTATCTAATCACCTCTTCTTGGTGTTAAGCTGGCAATAGAAAGGACTCAAAATTCCCTGCAGTCAGTACCAAACATCTCACTGGAGTATTTTCAAAAACAAGGTTAGTTTTTCGCAGCGCTTCATTTGTTTCATATTTTCATGTTGCTCCTTAAGAACGTAATGATGATTAAAGAAATGTTGTACTTGTTGCAGTTGAGCATATGAAGAAAGAGTCTGGCTGTCTCACCGAAGAGCTACGCAGTGAGGCTCAGGATCACTTACTCCCAGCTAGTGCAGCAAGGTAATACATTTAGTTGTTGTGTTTATGTTGTACTCTGCATATTGTGTTTTACATTACTAAATAATGTATCCAATTACCCCCCCCCCCCCCGTAAAACTTTGATTTATACCGTATTCATATCTGTTATTTGCTTTCAGTGATCCTGCTGTGCAATCAGCTATGAAAAAATTCCAGAAAGTCATCTGTAGGCATGTTACTCTAAATATTCATATAACACAAAGAGGAATATATCATTTGGTGTGCCACCTAGGTTCTTTTTTTTTTTACTAGCCTATGTTGTGTTTTAGGCTCCAGACAGAAAGTGAATCTTGGGAGGCACTCTTGAACAAACACCAGAGGAAAGCAGAAGAGTTGGAAAGGTAAACGCATGGACGTTCATCAAGGAATACTGTGTTAGTCTATCATTATTCTCAGTTTTGGGTCAAAAATCTGTTCTTTATTCGTTGCAGGAAAGTGAAGCAGGGTCAAGAGAAAGGCTTGTTGTTAGACTCTTCAACTGTGGCCCGGTCTTCACAGTACCAATTCATACAGAGTAAACCGGACTACCATGGCCTCCTCTGTCGACAACAGCCCATGTTTCAAACTATGGCAATGATTGTATGTTGAAAATACTTTTTTTTTTTTACATCACTAACAAGCAAAGTAAAACTCTCAATAGAAGAAATGGTTATTTTTTTGCCAACACTGCTATGTATGGTTTTCCAGGCTCTTACATACAGTTTGTGTGATTGTGTATGTTAAAACACTAATGCGGTTGAGGGCAGAAAAAGAAAGGAAGCTTTGCTTGGCTGTTTGAGTAATGAAACACAAAACAGATGCTGCTGATTTACTGACTGCTTAAATGCTGTCCTCCAAAAGAAGAAAGCTGAGCCTTATTATACGAGGCAGCCAAGAACACACATTTCTCCCAATGTCATTTTAATTATTTATTTATTTTTTGGGACTCAAAGGTTTTAGCCTTGGTAAAGCTTGGTTAAAAAAAGTGTATGCCCACAAACAAAATGTTTTATGTTTTGTGGTTGCTTGCCTATGTTGCAGCGCTGTCAATCAAATTAAGATTCAACATCACAGACACTGCCCTGATAAATTGAAGTAATTGTGTAACAGGTTTACTCTTGATCGTAACTGCATGTTTTTGACATTTTTGCTAGTATGTTGTTACATTATGAGATGGATTATAGTATGAATTAAAGGACTTTCTAATATGCTGCTATATGCCACATACGGGTAATCAGTTTTGTGTTTTATTTAGATGGACATTCAGTGTAAAAAGATTAGACAGCTTCTGTCCATCAAGGAGCAGTCCCAGTTGTTGGTGAAAGAGACCAGTGGACGATTGGGTAAAGATTTTATTTATCTTTTTATGTAATGGTCTATTGAATTAACTTTACAGTAGCAATTTAACATTTGATTTTGTTACTTTTTTTAACAGCTGCAAAGGCAGGATTCCAGGATCTTTCACCTGACGTTGTAAAGAACTTTATGACAGCACCTCTTTCCTCTACAACTACGTAGTCACCCTGACAGGAGGCAAGCACAAGCAATCTAAAGACTCTCTTTTTAAAGCTCACTTCAGTGTATTTTCTTGTGATTATAATGTTTTATTCTTTGCTTTGTCTTTTGTCTCATACTTTGTCTACTAAAAATAAAACCAACATCATAAACGGGTATGGCAATAATGCCAGATAGTTCATGTTTGATCCAGAAGGTGGCACTGCCTAGCTGTAAAAAAAATAAATGTTTAAGAGCTCCATAAATGGCCAGCAAGGATTTTTCTAGAAAACATTAAGTACATATTTGCCAGTATAACCCTGATTGAAACTAGTAGCTGTTCCAATCCTAGGAACAGATCAATCTTTTGACAAAATAAGCTCGACTTAAACTTGAACTGTATGAGGAGCTGTCAGAACTAGCAAATGTAATAACTTCCCAAACCAAGTCTGATTCATAGGGTCATTTAAAATAAACATAATATTAAAGTCATTTAATGTAGTTACATTTTGAGTGTTTCTTTCTTTCATTTCTTCAACAATTATTTTGAAAAAAATCAGAATCATATCATCACACGAATGGTGTTTTTACCTTCTGCAATTAGACCTGTAAATAAATCTCAAAATGTTCAGTTGAGATTGAGGTGTACAAAAGGAAAGTATAATTAGTGCTTTAGGATTATAAATTGTTCAAGCACAGAAGGAATATCCTCTAGTTTGCTCACAGTCCAGATGTACAATCTAATTTACATGCTCATCCTCAGTCACAGTTAGTCTTTTTGGTGCTGCATCCATTTCACTTATCAGTGTCCCCTGACCATTCAGGAGCAGGCCCCTCCCCCACAGTGACTCACCCCCATCTCTTGCGTTTGGCTGGGTCACTGATGCAGAACGAAGCTTTGACATTGTACCAGTCAGTCAAAGCTTTGTTCCATATCACTCATATCTCTGTTAGACCCCTCCATTCATAAATGGTACTTGTTAATTGTCAGTTATGAGTAAAGCATAAAGACATATTAACAAATAGCCAACAATAGTAAAATACCTTACTGTGCTTTACTGTTAGGATCTGGAACATGGAGTATGGAGAATTTTCCCTGTTATTGTATTCAAGGGAGTCACTAGAGAGCACAGGATCAAGCAAAGAGAAGACAAGTGGGGTTGTGACCGTGAGAGTTGTGAGTAAAGGAGGATGGTGCACAGCAGGAGAGATCGATTCTTATTTAGATGAAAATGAGGCTTGATGCTTGTGAGGTGAGAGGAGGGCAGCTTTTGCATCCAAATGAATAGAAGGTTCACAGCAATGATCCTCAACTGAATCACCAACAACAAAAATATAAAGAAGTTAACAAAGACACTGACAGTCTTTTACTTAAGAGGAAGCTTTTTGGGGTTACATGGTAACCCCTGCAGTTACTCACTTTAAACTGTATTATACACAGATGCTTAAAAAAACCTTAGTGACCGAAGTTAGAAGTTATAGTGTGTTTGATTTTAAAGCTGGTCATATTTGAATAAAGGTGACTAGATTTTTTGGAAGTAGTCTAGTATTGGAGAAAAAGATAGTAATGGTCTGTTATATAAATTCAAACGTTGGGTTATATGTCTTTGTGCATAAGCTTGGCTGTGGGAGAGTTGACTTATCTTGTGGGTAAAATCCGCTGATTGACATAACCAACAGGAAAGCCGAGTTGTGACTTGTACTACATGCACATGTAAAGAACATTACTGCTTAACTTCATTGTATTCTCTATACTTTTTGTCTCTAACTTTAGATTGATTAGCTACAGATTGCAGTAGATGGATGTGTAGAGAGTCAGCATAAACCATTGCCAGTTTGGTCCTACTCTCTCATGCACACCCATCATCTTTTCTCAGTACAGCAAGGCTGGCTGCAGCTCTCCTCCACATCCATTCAGTCACCCATTCGTCTTGGAAAGCTGTCTCTCTGATCTGAGTGATAAACTACAGCAGAAATGCCCAGTTTGCAAAAAACAAGGACACTTGTTTTCAATCTGTGCTGTCAACATTTTCATACTGAAAACTGATGGGCTGTTTCATTCATTGGGGATTTAGGACAGAATGATATTCTAGGTTGATCCGTTTTGCCTTGATATTGAATATTGCTGTTGAAATTGCCACATTTTACTCAAATTGACTTAAAGGATATTAGAGGATTGCCTAGACATAACTTAAGGGACCAAATCATTTTCAGTCCTTACTTTTTGAGAATGGAGTTTAGGGTTGGTTTTTTGTGTTGTTTTTTTAAGCTCTGCATATGTCCAAACATATTTTTAGCAGATCAAAAATCAGATAATGAGGGGCATTATTACACAATACTTTGTGGTGTTAATAGTTGTGTATTAAAATAACCGTATAACCTACAGCACGCCATCCAAGTCCTTATAGGCCTTTCAAACGAATATATATATATATATATATATATATATATATTCAAAGTTTTTAGAAATGCATTATGGGATATAACCTTTAATGAAGGGGAATGCATTTTACCAACTACAATCGTGACAGAAATTCTGATGATGACGTCAGAGGCATTCTTTTTGTAAAGGCCAAATAAAAGGAGATATCACCTGGAGGAATAGTGCACTCACGGAGTCCGGGAAGTTGTGTTACAGTCATATTTTTGCTGTGCTTAATCATCAGCCTTAATGTCAGCTAATTGATATGAACATCGACACATGTATCTTCTTCTGAAGTCTGTCGATGAACTCCACTAAAGCATTATGTATGAGTTTAAGGCTCGACGCACACCTCTCCGCGCAGCTCGTCCCCCCACACTCAGGCGACATCAATAACAATGGTAACCCGGAGTCTGAGATCTGACTGGAGCTAAACGGACCGAAAGCTTAGTTGCTGTATTGCCGTTTTATTTCTTTTGTGAATTTCCGACTTTTATACATAGACAAGAGTGTTCGTCTATTGTTATATGTATCAATTCAACATTTTTTTTTTTTTGAAAATGTGCGAGGCGCTGTTGGCCATCTCACACAGTCTGTGCATGTGTGTCCCTGCTGCTTCTCTGCTGGGCTACTAACCTAGCTGCTTTTCACTCGCTGGTTAGCTAACGTTAGCCTGGCCGCGTTTATTGACTTGAAGTGGAAAACATACACGAATGAAAAGCGTGTGTGTCCGATCTGTTTTACGACAGTGGTCCTAAACTAATTTGGGATAATTGTTGTCGGGTTCATAAAGAAGTGTTGTATGATTTGTCGCAGAAAATACTTTGCCAGCTAGCTAACAAGCTAGCTATTTGTGTGTATTCTTCGACTGAGGAAAACGACGAGTTTTCTTTGAAAGTATGGATGACCAGACCAGGATGATGACTGGTCTCACCGGACTCGGTGGACTAACACAAGGCGATGTCGGCGACCCAGACTCGGTTAGGAAACAACAGTCCCTCGGTCAACCTCAACAAGACATAGGGGATATCCTACAGCAAATAATGGCCATCACCGACGAAAGCCTGGACGAAGCACAGGCCAGGTAAGACAGGCGAAGAGCCATTTTCCACACAAGAAGGCTAAGCTAAAGTGCGTTGTATTAGTCTTATTTTCTTCTCAAGAACTGAAGCCTTTCGTAGAATAACTAATTTGTGATTCTCTGCAACTGCAGCATTTATGCAGTAAGCTAACTATAATAATGCACTTCTAAAAACAATACATTTTCTCACAAAATAACTTGAACAAACGCATATGAAGGGTTGTAATGTTAGTGTCTAATGAGGTTCTTTGTTACTACAAAGCCTTTTTTTTTGTTTTTTTTTCGTAAACTTTAGGTGGAAAACATGTACACTTTTTAAATACGCGGTTTATGTTAATTTTGTTTAAGGTTAATTTTCAAAGTTAAACTTCATACTAAGTCTGAGACGCCAGCCTTTCTAATATGCATATGACAACTTGCCTGAAACCAGAGCTGTATTTGCGGAGCATTGATTTTTGTTGAAAAATAAATAGTAGTTTCATGATGCTAGAGCTATTTGTTTGGGTCTTTCCTCGACCGCCGTATAAACAAATTCTTCTCATCTCCCTATGTCACTTTGTGCTTTAGAAAGTAGGCAATGCAAACTTCTATAAAGCTGTTATCCAAAACCACGGAGAAGCGCCCCAAAGACTTAAAAATTGTCTTTAAAAAGACACTGCATTTTACTTTTCTTTAGCCAGGGGTATCTGGGAGAAATTAGGTCCTCTAGTCACGTTAAAAAGCTTTTCACTTTTACTTAACAGCATATGCACAACTTGATTTGTCCTATTGTAACATGTATCCGATATGATGCTACACCTCAATGAGTGTCAGTAACATTAGCCATTGATATGTAAATGAGGGCCTAATTTAAACTAAGACTAAGGATGTCTCAATTGTCCCACTTATCAGCCAAGTGTGTCTGTGATGACAGCAATCATTCATTTATTTGACTTATCTATTATCATTCGTGTGAGAGGGATCTTTACATAAAATTATTTAGGGAACACGCACTGCAGTGAGCAACTGACCCTCACTCATTTGCCATGTGGCTAAGGAGCATAAGGTCAGTTTCAGAAGAAGCGTCAGTATTTCAACAAAAGACAACCGTCCACTGCAAGACTGTGGCCACAGTGTGATGTGTCATTAGCTAGTGATTTTCCACCCAACATTTGACCACCTGGTTCTCTTAATTAATTCACTCCTCTTTCACTCCCTCCCTCCCTGGTGTTCATCCTTTTCATTGTGTGCTGGGTGCAATCAATTCTCCTATAATGTGTACGCGAGTGCAGCTGTCCGCAAATCGAGTTTCTATTAATGAGATGGTGGTGAGGGGGAGGGATGATACTATACCAGCCGCCTATGAATACTGGGATATTACCTTTTGTTCATTACAAGTTTGAAGACTTAATCAGTCTCCATTTACAAAGTATTGCAAAGATTTTTGCTTTGGAATATTCCCTGTAGCTGTTTATACTTTCTTCTTCGTGGCTATTTTTTCCTGCATGATTTGTGCTGGAACAGTTTTACTTTGATGAATTAAATAATATAAATCTAAATCATTTGATTTGAAAGGGCAAATGATATGATAAATAATGTAGCATACTTCATACTTGCTGTTAATAGGCTATTCTAAAAAAAAAAAAAAAAACTAATAAAGGTGCGGCTACAACAGAAGTGCCAGAGTTGTCCAAGCTGTATGGTCTGTCCTTTCCAGGTTTACGTGTGAAATATAAATACTGAAAGGAATCAAGCTCATGGTTGGTTCTGGATGTAAATCATGTGGTATGTGCTAATCGAATCCTTGATGGTCTGCATATAAAAGATAAAAACAACTCTGTTGATAAAATATTAGTTTTTTGAACAGTAAGTGTATAGCATTAGCTGATTCACTTTCTCTATGTTTTGAATTGTTACTGTTTGCTTATTGCCAAATGTTTCAATTTAGGTCAAAGCCAAAAAATGACCAGACTTCTGGACTTCTATGCAGTTGGCTTGATAACATAGGTTTGCAATCAG